CTTAATCTTCACAATTTTAGGTGTTTGAATAGTGATTGATGTTCCTCTTGCCTCTAAAGGACTTTCTGCGTTGTTTGGAGAAAAGTCAATTTTTGGCCATTTTTTGATAAAAAAGTAAGGCTAACCCCTTGCATTTTTTTCAGTTTTGGCCAAAAAATGAAATTGTTTGAAACTTGCAGGAAAGATGCCTAATGGACCCTTGAAGACATTCCAATGCGATTTGTGGACAGACGTGCTTCTGAAAAGGAAATTTCGCCCAGAATTTGGGGCAAAATTTGACGAAAATGTGATTTTTTTTTCTCTCAAAAATATCAATAAATTGTGCCTAAATCTTCAAAATTTTAGGTGTTTGAATAGTGATTGATGCTCCTCTTGTCTCTTAAGGACTTTCTGCGTTGTTTGGAGAAAAGTCAATTTTTGGTCATTTTTTGATAAAAAAGTAAGGCTAACCCCTTGCATTTTTTTCAGTTTTGGCCAAAAAATGAAATTGCTTGAAACTTGCAGGAAAGATGCCTAATGGAACCTAGCAGATATTCCAATGCGATTTGTGGACAGACGTGCTTCTGAAAAGAAAATGTCGCCCAGAATTTGGGGCAAAATTGGTCGAAAATGTGATTATTTTTCCCCTAAGAAATATCAATAAATTGTGCCTTAATCTTCTCAATTTGAGGTGTTTGAATAGTGATTGATGCTCCTCTTGCCTCTAAAGGACTTTCTGCGTTGTTTGGAGAAAAGTCAATTTTTGGCCATTTTTTGATAAAAAAGTAAGGCTAACCCCTTGCATTATTTTCAGTTTTGGCCAAAAAATGAAATTGTTTGAAACTTGCAGGAAAGATGCCTAATGGACCCTAGAAGACATTCCAATGCGATTTGTGGACAGACGTGCTTCTGAAAAGAAAATTTCGCCCAGAATTTGGGGCAAAATTGGTCGAAAATGTGATTATTTTTCCCCTAAGAAATATCAATAAAGTGTGCCTTAATCTTCATAATTTTAGGTGTTTGAACAGTGATTGATGCTCCTCTTGCCTCTAAAGGACTTTCTGCGTTGTTTGGAGAAAAGTCAATTTTTGGCCATTTTTTGATAAAAAAGTAAGGCTAACCCCTTGCATTTTTTTCAGTTTTGGCCAAAAAATGAAATTGCTTGAAACTTGCAGGAAAGATGCCTAATGGACCCTAGCAGACATTCCAATGCGATTTGTGGACAGATGTGCTTCTGAAAAGAAAATTTCGCCCAGAATTTGGGGCAAAATTGGTCGAAAATTTGATTATTTTTCCCCTAAGAAATATCAATAAAGTGTGCCTTAATCTTCACAATTTTAGGTGTTTGAATAGTGATTGATGTTCCTCTTGCCTCTAAAGGACTTTCTGCGTTGTTTGGAGAAAAGTCAATTTTTGGCCATTTTTTGATAAAAAAGTTAGGCTAACCCCTTGCATTTTTTTCAGTTTTGGCCAAAAAATGAAATTGTTTGAAACTTGCAGGAAAGATGCCTAATGGACCCTTGAAGACATTCCAATGCGATTTGTGGACAGACGTGCTTCTGAAAAGGAAATTTCGCCCAGAATTTGGGGCAAAATTTGACGAAAATGTGATTTTTTTTTCTCTCAAAAATATCAATAAATTGTGCCTAAATCTTCAAAATTTTAGGTGTTTGAATAGTGATTGATGCTCCTCTTGCCTCTAAAGGACTTTCTGCGTTGTTTGGAGAAAAGTCAATTTTTGGCCATTTTTTGATAAAAAAGTAAGGCTAACCCCTTGCATTTTTTTCAGTTTTGGCCAAAAAATGAAATTGCTTGAAACTTGCAGGAAAGATGCCTAATGGACCCTAGCAGACATTCCAATGCGATTTGTGGACAGACGTGCTTCTGAAAAGAAAATTTTGCCCAGAATTTGGGGCAAAATTGGTCGAAAATGTGATTATTTTTCCCCTAAGAAATATCAATAAATTGTGCCTTAATCTTCTCAATTTGAGGTGTTTGAATAGTGATTGATGCTCCTCTTGCCTCTAAAGGACTTTCTGCGTTGTTTGGAGAAAAGTCAATTTTTGGCCATTTTTTGATAAAAAAGTAAGGCTAACCCCTTGCATTTTTTTCAGTTTTGGCCAAAAAATGAAATTGTTTGAAACTTGCAGGAAAGATGCCTAATGGACCCTAGAAGACATTCCAATGCGATTTGTGGACAGACGTGCTTCTGAAAAGAAAATTTCGCCCAGAATTTGGGGCAAAATTGGTCGAAAATGTGATTATTTTTCCCCTAAGAAATATCAATAAATTGTGCCTTAATCTTCTCAATTTGAGGTGTTTGAATAGTGATTGATGCTCCTCTTGCCTCTAAAGGACTTTCTGCGTTGTTTGGAGAAAAGTCAATTTTTGGCCATTTTTTGATAAAAAAGTAAGGCTAACCCCTTGCATTTTTTTCAGTTTTGGCCAAAAAATGAAATTGCTTGAAACTTGCAGGAAAGATGCCTAATGGACCCTAGAAGACATTCCAATGCGATTTGTGGACAGACGTGCTTCTGAAAAGAAAATTTCGCCCAGAATTTGGGGCAAAATTGGTCGAAAATTTGATTATTTTTCCCCTAAGAAATATCAATAAAGTGTGCCTTAATCTTCACAATTTTAGGTGTTTGAATAGTGATTGATGTTCCTCTTGCCTCTAAAGGACTTTCTGCGTTGTTTGGAGAAAAGTCAATTTTTGGCCATTTTTTGATAAAAAAGTAAGGCTAACCCCTTGCATTTTTTTCAGTTTTGGCCAAAAAATGAAATTGCTTGAAACTTGCAGGAAAGATGCCTATTGGACCCTAGAAGACATTCCAATGTGATTTGTGGACAGACGTGCTTCTGAAAAGAAAATGTCGCCCAGAATTTGGGGCAAAATTGGACGAAAATGTGATTTTTTTTCTCTCAAAAATATCAATAAATTGTGCCTTAATCTTCAAAATTTTAGATGTTTGTATAGTGATTGATGCTCCTCTTGCCTCTAAAGGACTTTCTGCGTTGTTTGGAGAAAAGTCAATTTTTGGTCATTTTTTGATAAAAAAGTAAGGCTAACCCCTTGCATTTTTTTTAGTTTCGGCCAAAAAATGAAATTGCTTGAAACTTGCAGGAAAGATGCCAAATGGACCCTAGAAGACATTCCAATGCGATTTGTGGACAGACGTGCTTCTGAAAAGAAAATTTCGCCCAGAATTTGGGGCAAAATTGGTCGAAAATGTGATTATTTTTCCCCTAAGAAATATCAATAAAGTGTGCCTTAATCTTCACAATTTTAGGTGTTTGAATAGTGATTGATGCTCCTCTTGCCTCTTAAGGACTTTCTGCGTTGTTTGGAGAAAAGTCAATTTTTGGCCATTTTTTGATAAAAGAGTAAGGCATTGCATTTTTTTCAGTTTTGGCCAAAAAATGAAATTGCTTGAAACTTGCAGGAAAGATGCCTAATGGACCCTAGCAGACATTCCAATGCGATTTGTGGACAGACGTGCTTCTGAAAAGAAAATTTCGCCCAGAATTTGGGGCAAAATTGGTCGAAAATGTGATTATTTTTCCCCTAAGAAATATCAATAAAGTGTGCCTTAATCTTCAAAATTTTAGGTGTTTGAATAGTGATTGATGCTCCTCTTGCCTCTAAAGGACTTTCTGCGTTGTTTGGAGAAAAGCAAATGAAATTGCTTGAAACTTGCAGGAAAAATGCCTAATGGACCCTAGAAGACATTCCAATGCGATTTGTGGTCAGACGTGCTTCTGAAACGAAAATTTCGCCCAGATTTTGGGGCAAAATTGGTCGAAAATGTGATTATTTTTTTCCTAAGAAATATCAATAAAGTGTTCCTTAATCTTCACAATTTTAGGTGTTTGAATAGTGATTGATGCTCCTCTTGCCTCTAAAGGACTTTCTGCGTTGTTTGGAGAAAAGTCAATTTTTGGCCATTTTTTGATAAAAAAGTAAGGCTAACCCCTTGCATTTTTTTCAGTTTTGGCCAAAAAATAAAATTGCTTGAAACTTGCAGGAAAGATGCCTAATGGACCCTAGAAGACATTCCAATGCGATTTGTGGACAGACGTGCTTCTGAAAAGAAAATTTCGCCCAGAAATTGGGGCAAAATTGGTCGAAAATTTGATTATTTTTCCCCTAAGAAATATCAATAAAGTGTGCCTTAATCTTCAAAATTTTAGGTGTTTGAATAGTGATTGATGCTCCTCTTGCCTCTAAAGGACTTTCTGCGTTGTTTGGAGAAAAGTCAATTTTTGGTCATTTTTTGATAAAAAAGTAAGGCTAACCCCTTGCATTTTTTTCAGTTTTGGCCAAAAAATGAAATTGCTTGGAAAGTGTTTGAAAAGTGATTGATGCTCCTCTTGCCTCTGAAGTACTTTCTGCATTGTTTGGAGAAAACTCAACTTTAGTCATTTTTTTTTTCTTTAATGTAAGGCTATAACCCCTCTTCGATTTTGACCGAAATTTTAATTTCTTGAAACTTGCAAGAGTTAACTAGAACACTTTTCAATTGCATTTCTGGACAGATGTGCTGTTGAAAAGAAAATAGTGCCAGAGTTTGGGGTAAAATTGGTAAAACTCCAATTCGATTGCTCGACAGATGTGCCTTAGAAAGAAAGTTTTGACGTGGATTTGGAAATGTTAAACGTTTTTTCTTCAAAAAAAAGCGATTATTTAAAATGTTGAGGAAGGAATTTCAGAAACAGTAATTATCAAAGGGTTAACCTTGACAAATTGGGCAAAAACTTTAATTTCCTGAAAGTTTTGTCGAAACCTGTTGTCGTAGGAAAACAAACTATAATTCGCCTGCCAACGATGAACACAAGACTTGAAGTGATTCTTTTTCTTTCTCATTCATTTAGACCGCTAGATTTATAACACCACATAGTTTAAAAGAAAAGTTTACCTAACAAAATACCTGAAAAACCCATGATCGATCCTGGGCTGTGCGGATAAGGTTGATATGCTAAATTTGTAATGATTATTCATCATATGCAAATAATAAGCGCCATTTTGAATATTTTTAATCGCCTGGCAGCGAAGTAAACTTCCGATCGCTGACCGTGAAAAGGGGGTAAACAGTTGTCTTCCTTTGCTCAGTTTTAATAGTATTTTTTATAATGTATGACTTTAAGACAGTTTTCAATCGTTGTCAATTGTTAATTTGCTGTTATTGGTTAGAAAGGTTCATTTTGATGATGTTTTCGAAACACAATTTGAAAAATAGCGTTCATCACGGAGCGATCATTCTGTAGGGCCTACCCAAAGTCTTGTATTTCCGACACATGAACGACCTTCGTTCATTGACATTGTGTCGCTTCACAATTCTTTTTGTTTTGATAATGAATGTTAATTGTTATTTTGTTAAATAATGACAGTGATGTCTCGTGCAGTAGGAATGGTTTATAAACGGTAAAGTAAGCATTTCTATTTTGATATGCCATTTTAAATGTGGCCAATTTACTAACGTTATAATTACCTCCGGCCGTAAAGCTTTCGAAAGGCCACACTTCATGCACTTGGAACATGTACTCGAACATGTAGAAATTTGTCAAGTTTTTATTTTCACATTTAGACTTTATCAGTTCATTTGTAGTTTCCGACACATGAACGACCTTCATTAATGCGTTCATTAATGCTTTAGAAGAAGCACACTCACCCTCTTTAAAGCGATAGAAAATAAATCCCCCTTTTCAGACTTCTATTTTTTGTGTAATTTCGTGTTGGAATTTAGGTACGCTAACATGTGCAAAATGAACCTGGAAATGACACGAAATATAGACGATAATATTAGTGCGGAACCAGACAAAGATTCATCATGGTAAAAATGTCTAAATTCTGAAAAATCAACAGTCACTTTGCACGTTCAGTGCCGTGCCTCTGCAACACTGAAAACAATCGGGGGCCGGTTCACAGAATTTAAAATCTGAATGAAATATGCTTGAAAATTTGGCAGTTTCTAGTTGCACCCAAAAAAGGTGAAAGAATTTATCAAATTCAGTCAGTCAGTCCATTCAGTTACACTTTACATACTTTAAATTACAGTGTTTTTTTTCCAATGGTCATATTCTCCACAGCATATTGTCCACATCTGTAAAGTTGAATGAGTGTATGACGAACCTTAAGCAACATGGCGAGCCTCCGGCCATTCAATACGTCCACCAAGGATGCAAAATCCTTCAAACTCAGGTGAGAAAATGGCTCGTTTTAAAATAAAGACGTTTTTACCACGTTAACATTTACATGTAATAGTATTAACAACTGTCAAAATGGCAATTTAGCTAAGAACAACAGATGGGATTCACACAACCGACATGACCAGATTGACAATAAAAAAATTGGAAAAAAAATTGAGCATCATGCGTACATGTAGGTAAATTAAGGCATTTACAGTTATCGGTGGTATATTTTAAAAGCATTTGTGTGTGTGCTTTTAGGAATCCTCAACTATCTTCCAAAGACACGGAGCGTCTGGACACCGATAACTACAAGATGGAGGCCAGACTGAGGGAGCTGAAACTGAGCATGAGGCGACAGAAGGAGGAGAGGGAGTAAGTAGGATCACTGGAAGAGCTGGTCACAGATAATTGATTCGCTCTTATTCAAGCAGTTTAGTTAGAGAACCTGTCTTTTTATCTAAGAATCTTTCTCAAGACGTCAGGAAGCTTGAACATTTACTGATGCAATAGCAAAGAAATTTCAGACCAAGGTGTTATGGTATCAATTCTTTCTTGAGAATGATGTTATCCATCTTTTTAAAACAGAAATATGAATTCGGATGGGTCTATCTGGTCATCCGGTAAGCCGGGAGCTGTCACAACGCACGGAACGGACCTCATGAAGAAAGAACCCAGCAAGCCAACACAGTCTAAAGGAAAGGTATGTTATGAATGCAAATATGACATTTTTTTCATAAACAAACCATTCATAAACCATTTTTAATGCGTTGGTGTCTCAGTGGTAGAATAAAAAAATGAAATTAATATATACAGTCACTTCGTACTGCATAATGTGAAGCAAAATTTATGAAGCTCAAAAATTTGGGGCTTTAAATTCTCGGTGTTTTAACTCTGCTTACGTGCAAAACCAGATCTAATATTTAATTGTCTGTTTATTTCCATTGATTAATCCGTTTCTTGTTATTTTCTTTTTGTAGGCAAGAAAGATTAAGGTCCTCAAAGATACACCGTTGGGTAAGAGTCGTTTTTGTGGGGTTTTTTTTTTTCAAGAGGAGTCAAAAGATATTTTCCTGATGGAACAAAGACTGTCGAAATTATGTCATTGCAAAATCTGCCTGTCTGATAACTTTAAAACAATTATTAGGAAACGGTGGCTTTTCACTGAAAGTTTTGTTTCAAATCTGTAACCATAACAACTAATTAACAATTCATTATGTCTCCTCAGATCTGCCAAAGCGCGCCCCAATTGCTAGGTCTTTCACCGAAGCTAGTCCACCGAAGTTTAAAGGACCGGCCTGCGGCCAGTGCGAACAGAAAGCTGTAGCCTTGGTGAGTTTATAGCCAAATGCTGCTTCCTAAAATGTTAAGCTGTAATTTTCCATGATTGTTGATTTCTGTCAGCCGAGGTTCCAAAATAATTCGCTGTCTTTGACATTGTTGAAAAGTTGGTCTGTCATTTTTGTCTCTCTTTTTTCTGTATGCAGACGTGTATGGAGTGTGTGGAGAATTACTGCACGACATGCTTTGCCAAATTCCACATGAAAGGTGCCCTGAAAAACCACCGCTCCGTACCATTCCAGGTAAGGGCGGAAACTAAAGGTCAAGTTTCTATTCCGTGTCTAATTTAGACAGACTTGCTAAAAGATTTGTTGATTGATTGTGTTGCTTTTTTATCCAAATTTATTTATTTATTTGTTTTTGTTGCAGACTAACCGTAGCTCATCCAACTCCAGTTCCCTCGAGTAAGTCGATTTTAATTTTCCTTAACATGATCACACTGTTCCCCTTTTTATTACAGAAAACTTAGTCCTTTCTCCTTCCTTTTTTATTGCCTTGATTTCATTGGTCACCGGTGCTAAAACGGTTTCCTTTTTTTCTACCACCAGTCTAAGTAACGGAATGACGTCATCCCCAAATAGTTCAATAGAAGGCCTACCCCCAAGGCCTTCCAGTGCAAGCCGAAGGACCACGACGTCAACAGACACCGCCTCTGAACAGGTCAAAACTGTCTCCATCAAACTCAAGGTTTGTTGAGACTTTTCATCATAATTCTATTTTCGAGGCTCTCTGGTCCTTCAATTACAAGATTTTAAATTGCAGATAACATATTGGTGCCAAATTCCTGTAAAATGTTGTTTGTAGTTCTCAATTGCATATTGAAATTTGGCATCAAAAAATAACCAACAGAGCTGTGCATCACAAGTCCCACAAAATCCATGACGAGTCCATCACAAGTATAATCCTGTCTCAAGTCAAATCATGAGCTATTCAAATGAACTGTGACTAAAGCATCCCCAGTTACTCAAGTTGTTACTGGACTTGTGACAGGACTTGTGATGCTCGACTACAACACTGCTCAGGCATGCAACTGGGAATTTTTTTAAAAAACGAGGAAACTCCAAACCTCACAAGACTTTTCAATTTGTAATGGCATTCATGAGAAGTAGAAAACGAGGAAATCAGCGGATCCGAGGAAAAGTTGCATGCCCGACTGACACAGAGTGCCCGTAATTTGCTGGACCTGCCTCTGTCTAAAACCTTGTAGAAGAAAATTAAATGATGGTTTTTAACCAAACCTAGGATCCAAGCGAGATGGAAGGAGGAGCCTTTCTTCAAGGCACATTCAGTGAGGAAGAGAGTGCTCAATCCTTTGCTCAGGCCCTGGCAGAGTGGAGATCTGGCAAACAGAACGGCCCGACTGAGGCTAGTCAGAAACAGGAAGTCAAGAAAGGTAAGTTGATCCTGGAGACATCACTTTATTATGTAGTCGAGTACTGGCCACCGACCTCTACACTATAAACTTGACCGGCTGTTTCACGCTTACTGGCCTATTCGCTTAAAATGCATCCTGCAGCAAAAGCAGCATTCCTACTATTTGTGAGGTCGCCAAAGGCGTCTCTAATCATTTCTCCTCTTTATTCAGAGAGCATTGCAAGTGGCACCACAACTGAAGAGCCCCCGCCCATCGAGATCAAATTCCAGCAAGATACGTCCATCACCTACGCCGACAAACTCCTCATCAAGAAGCATCGACGCACTGAGCTGTCCCCCTTGCCTTCACCTCGACTCTCTAGCGATGGTGAAGAGGAGAAACGCTCACCGAGGCAGGGAAAAGAGACGCTGACAAACGGCCATGTGGACAACTTATCAGGTATTTTGTAGAAGATGCTGGTTGTTTTCCATACCCCTGCTTTGATTTTGTACCCCTGCTTTGATTTTTGGCTTCAGATTGTAATAAAGTAGTGGAATCGAAGAGATAAAAAAAAATGGAATATGTGGGACTTCTGTTTTATCACGCAGATGATGAGAACGAACTGCAAGAAGAGCATCAACGTTACGTTGGCATCTTCAGTAAATCCATATCCCCGAGCGAACCAAGACTGGCTAGTGCCCTGTCCATTGTTGAAGTCACCGAGGTAAATAAATACAAGCCACTTTTTTTTTACCGCACTTTACAGTAATTCTTCCGAGATACAGTAAAAGCTTCTGGCTGATTCTAAGACCACCGAGATGAAGCTAAATATTAACGTTTTGATTTTCTCCCCAGGCTCAACCAAATGAAGCAATGGCAATGGAAGTCGAGTCGGTGTACAGTGTCCAGGAGGTGGATGACTCCAAATCACAAGGTCTGGACCAGTCTGCAAGGTGAGGAAACGTGTAAATTTATTCCATCCCTTGATAAACACCTTTTTTTCCGGATGAATAATTTTTGCTAAAATTTCAAACGAGACTTATTTGTTCAGTCCTGCATGGATTAGTAGTGTGATAGTGATCTTCAACTCGCCATTTGTTTGTTTCAGGGGGGATCGTATCCACACATCTAGCAACCGGTACAGCCCAGAGATGCCACAGGAAACTCAAAACACGCAGTCAAAATCCCTGACAAGCCCTGGCAAGCCCAAGACTCCTGGTCCGTTACCTGCGAAAGAGAAGCAGCAGCAGGGTCCAAAAAGCGGCAACAAACCAACAAAGACTGTATCAACTCCGATAAGAGGCACACCAGATGCCAAGCACCCCAAACAGCAGCGCTCGACGCCCCAACGACTGGACGCCTCATCGCGACTCGCATCAGCGCACTCCACTGCAGCGAAACCAGAGAAAATCCCATCAAAGCCAAAATCCAAAAGCGCAAGTGGGACGATACAGCGTAAGCCGCTAACCAAGTCCTCAGAATCCAGAGATGTCCATGAAAGCATAACGCCAATTGCTTCTGACGATGCGTCAGGACGGGTTTCTGGACTGACAAGCACCCCATCGGGGGAGCTAATGACAGCCAGTCATCTCGTCAGACAAACGCAGCATCACTACAAGGCCGGTCTCGGAGATTTCTTCCTGGCGGGCCTTGGAAATGAGGAAGGCGAACCAAAGAATGAGGTGGATGATAATCGGGAATCGACACCCGTCAACAGGCTACCAGACTGCTCCTATAAAGGTACATAAAAAGTTATGCTTGACTTATCGATGTTCAAAATACATAAATAAAGAAAGATCACCTTCCTTCCAAACCTTAGCAGGATACATCACTGTTGTCTTTTCAATAATTTTAATTGTCATTCCACAGGTGCCTTATCAGCATGGCGCCCAGACAGCAGCCTGGCAAACCCCGCCCTCCAACAATCCCTCAAACCCTTCTCCCCCTCACCCCCGCCCAAGAGCGGTCGCCAGGCCCACCGCAGCGCTGCCAAGTCCCGCCTCGTTAAGTCCATCAACCAAGACAACTCAGATACTGGGGTCCGAGGTCAAAGTGCAAAGGTCAAGGAGGAGAGGTCAAGTGCCAAGCCTCGCCCAGACGCTGATAACACTATCTCTTGGATGCTAAGTGAGGAACTGTCGAAGAGGGGAAAGGGATGGAACAATAACAACAATGAGAGGAAGGGAGATGGAGCACCTGGGGCTGAGCAGGCTAAAGAACCTGATCGAAGCAGCAGCCGCATAGAGGTCGATGGTGAGTCTTTTGGCACTTGTTAATCAATCCCTCAATTTGGCCAATTGTGACTTTTTTATCTTGACCAAATTTGCGCACAGAGGTAGAAAAACTAAGCTGCGAAACCAAATGGCATATTTTGTGATTAGGGGATAGTTCATGTCACCGGAAATACATCAGTTCTGCTTGATCTGACAGAACCTTGTATTAACATTCTGTCGGTCACAAAATCTCATGGTGGTTTTGTACTGGGGGGAAAAATGGCCATTTAGAGTTTTGTTCAAAACACAAAGACTTGTGATTTGTAAGTCATTTGAGTCTCCGAAAAAAAATTATCCATCACAAGTCCTCTCGAAGCTTTCTTGAGCAATTCCCTGATTAAGCCCTTGAAAGAGCTAGATAACAAGTATTGTGTTTGATTTTTGAATTTTTGACAGGTGATGACATGACCGTCTACGACAACGTGGGCAGAGACGATACAGAGATGGCAGATCAGGAGACCCTGGAGCAACTGACCTGGGAATTGGCCTCTCACTCTGGTGGCGTCACAGGTAGTAACTCCGTTATATTTCCTGTAACGGGTATGACAGTAATAAGTACCTATAGAACACACAATGCATGTACTCTTTACACAAATTGAGAATTAATTTAAAAATCAAAATTAATATTTCGTTATCAGTGAGGTACACTGATAATCCTATTAATGGTATACAGTACTGTTTAGTTGCATCTGCTTTGGGATGCTAGAAAAATATTTAAATTTTCGGACCAGTACTACAAATTTTCAAGGATTTTTAATAACAGGTTGTCTTAAATTGAGCGTCAAGGTGAAACTAACTAGACTCACTTCTAATTAATTAATGTTGGAACAAAGATATTGACAAACTGTATTATAGAAAACCAAGGCTGAATAGGTTAGGAGAGAGAGCACCTGTATGATCTGAAGGTTGCTGGTTCACATCCCGTTTGAGTGATTTTTCATTCACCTTCTCAATGTACCTCTCCAAGTAAAATCTTTCATATTTTGTGCGAGTAGGTGAAATTTTCTACTAACTGCAGCAAATTTTTATTTTTTTAATTTTCTTTCAGCTGATGGTCGCCTGACTAGCATGAGCCTTCCCGACCCAGACGATGACCACAACGATGACATCTACCGGGACAACAGCTTCAGCCAAGACACAGAGCTGGGCATCTTAGAAGATGACGGCATGGGATCGGGGCTGAGCACACCTTTTGACTTTGTGACGGGAGAGAGTATCAGCCCGGAGGATAAGAAGGAGGATGCTGATTTCTTGGAGATGCAGAGATACACGGCCGAGGTGCAGGCTCTGATTTAGCCCTACCACTCCTTGATCCAAACAAGAGGTTGGGAAGATTTTGAAGGATGACCGCAACATTTTAGAACTGAGCACTATCTATGATCTCTCTGAAGGACTGAAGAGGAAGGTGTGGATAACCTTGGAGGTGCTGAGATGCAGGTCCTGACTAATCTCCAACACTCCTGAACCGTCAAAAGCCGCCAGGACATTTAGAGCAGCGTGTAGCATCACAGTGGGGGATAGGTGCCGAGTACACCTCAGAATTTTCCGACGGGAGAGCATCGGAGGATGCTGGTTCCTTGGAGATGCAGAAGTACACAACTACGGTGTAACCCAAACTTTGCTTTAACTTTCCTTTATCCTTCAAAATTATGTAGGACATTGGCTTGGTTACAAGGCAGAGGATACCTTTTTATCACTTTGAAAGGAATGGAGGTATTAGGATACAATGGACAAAGTAGGGCCAACTGAACTACTTGTACAGGTATGGTATTCATTTGGACATGTATCACAGTGGACTACCTGCAGGAAGTTCAAACTGGAAATATAATTAGTTTATTGCAATATGCACTTGGTTTTCCAAATTAAATAAAATGTACATAGGTGTTTATAGATTGTATTTGTTTAACATGTTGATGAAATTTATAGTCGGATTCCATCCATTTTAATTATGTTTTTCTTTTCATTCCGTCCAATTTGTTTTCCAAGGATCAGCTGTATTATTGAATGGTTGCTATAACATGTATTGTTTATGAAAAATTGTGTTATTACATTTACAAATTAAACATAACAAAGAGTAATGTTATGTATTATTCTTCCATGTTGTGAAAAAAATGGTCTAGAAAGTACAGCACATGTATGTGCTCTAGGTATGCAATTAGAAATGAATTTAAAAAAAGAAAGAAAAATATGTGAAAAAAGACAACTGGACTCAAACTTAGAGATAGAGAACACTCCACTCTGAACCGTTTCCAAACTTATCTGGGTTGCTTCCTGATTTATAATGAACATACATGTACTTAGTAATGAACGTATTTGTTTATTGTACAAGACAATCCTATGAATGAATATTCATAGCAAAATAGTTTGAACAATGTATGTTTTTAACAAAAAAGGTTTTGAGTCGTAAAATTTATCTTGACGCTGATTAATGTTAATGGTGAATAGAAAGAAAAAGTATCAATTTCTCAAAGTTTGTTATTAATGCATATCATTGTCATGTATGGATAAAATATTGCACATGACCTATAAATATGTACACCTAAGTTACTTGCTAGTGATAACATGTTTAAAGTACATGTGCATGTAAAAGTAGGAGACCAATATAAATGTTAATCTTCCAGTTAATTCCTTTAGCAATGTACACGTAGGAAATTGAATTCTATACAAATATAATAATCAAATCCTGTGCTTCGTTAAAATAAAAGTGTTGTATTTCGTGCGTGAATATAAACATACTCAACATAAAACTTGTGTCATGTGATGTTTATTTTACATATTTGAGTTTAGTATGTGCATTGAGGTAGTCTAGCCCATTCCGAGATTTAAACCAGTAAACAGCGAAAAAAACACCAACTTGAAGGGCAGACATGTTTTTCAAAGGTGATACAAGTGTACTAGTGGTGGGAGAAATCAGAGATTTCAAAATCCGGTTATCCAAACATTTTCAAACCGAATATTAAAAACTGTTATCCGATTTCACCGGAAGTTCCCATCAAGCTTACAGTCATGCCAACAAAAAGTGCCGAGTGAGGTGCTGCAGGAAATGCCCTCCCAATTACTGGGTATAGTTTGCAGGATTCAATGACCACTGGGCCTTTACAAAACACTCAGCTGGATGGGAACTCTCTGATCAGTCAAATGAGCAGGCTATTCATATACCAAGAAGACCACTAGCAAGTGAATGCAGTTGCAATCAGAGACCATGGAGCAAATTGGGGGATTTTACCATTGTTTTCTTTAGCCTGTGTCACAAGAAAAATGGAAGGCATTTTTTTTCTAAGGCTGGTTTCGAATATGCTGTTACCAAAATCGAAACCGAATGGTGGAATTCAAACCAAATTTTAAAAAATACAGACTTAATCCCACCGCTTACAACTACTGAAATCATCTAGCAATTGTATACATTAGCATAAGTTGGAATGCGAAGTAGACCCACATTCTAAATTTGCAGCTGAAGATAGCCCACCTTAATATTTCAAGTTACCAACATGGTCGAGTTCGGGACGGTAAGACCCACGTAACACACGGACTTCAAAAGCTTGCAGTTGGGGATTTCCTTCTGTGAATATTATAAAGTTCCATTGGTTTGGGGTCCTTGTTCCCAAATCTCACCTCACCTTGTCACCTGTTTCGAGACACTCTCTGTCGGAAGTAATCTGGGGCAACATCGTACAGCCACTGAGGATCGATCACACACACGTTTCTTGGAGAAAAAAAAGGGCGAACGTGAAATAAAATGATACCCAAATGATTAAACAGAATTTTCAACTTTGGATTTGACAATGCAAACCCTTCCGTGTGCCACCCCTAAGTGCCTTGCCTGCTACTCCTTATGCCGCCCCAAGCCGCCCTAGCACTGTATACTTTTCATTCATTCATTTCGGTTTTATTGTTAAAAAAATGGTGACCAAAGAAAAAGTCCATGGACTAAAAATATTTGGTTTACAGTAAAAATTCATATTTACAATGATTGCTATTAAGCATTATATACATGTAAACAGTAAAGCTGAAAAAAAACCCCAATAACAGCGACTATCATTACATATAAGAATTAAGTTATGAAAACAAAATGAAAAAGGAGAAATAATTTTTTTAAAAACACAATTACGGAAATTAATTAATCTAATCATAGAGGGAACAGGAGATTGTTTATTTTGGATTCATCGAGGACTGAATACAAAATACAATGTAACACTATGTAATACAATGTAACACAATTACCTCATGTAACACTTGGTAGTTTGGACCAGTTCATTGTAGAGGAGGTAGGCAGGTTTGCATTGGAAGAGGCAGGAGGAGGGGTGGATGCTGACTGCCTGCTTACGATCAAGCTGTGAAGAAAGGCGGGGCATATTACTTAGATTCATCACATGCATATTCATGATGTAGCTTGGTGCAATCTTCACTGACCGACAGTTAATATGTTGACAACTTGGAATCTTTCATAAATTGCTAGATTTGTTGAATAAATTGGCTAATTCTGCTTTGCAGGAAAACGAAATCAAAAGGCACAAACAAAAGTCTGCTCTGTTCTGCAACAGGTGTAAACTTGTGGGGATTTCAACGATGGTTTCATTGCTACTGAATTTCTCCAAATCCCGAAAAACAGTGACTTACTGTGATGTATGTGCCGTCTCTTTGTAGCTCAGCCGAATTCATGAACAGACCCTGAACAAGGCATTTTCTGTAAGAAAAAAAAAGTGCAAAAACCTTGAAATGCAAACAAATTGTCAGGGATAATGCATTTCTGACTCTAGAAAAGAAGTGGCCTGTGTTTTCATTGCTGAGTGAAAATAATCTCTGGTCCAACTAAAGCCGAACGCCATCACAAAACCACCCACTCCTGGTCCTCTGATGTACATTACAATACTCAGGCATGCGACTTGGAAGTAGCAACCACAAGAGGAAACTCCAAACTTTACAAGACTTTTTACAGTGTTGTTCATTTTTTTAATGACATAAGTGTGAAGTGTAGAATGAGGAAATCAGCTGATCCGAGGAATAGGTGCATGCCTGAATACTATTAGGTGTTTTGTCCTTCACCGACGTATAAACACTGTATACTCACTGTTGATACATCAGTAAAGGGCAAAAAAAACAATATTGATTTACATCGCCCCGATGCAAATTCCATCTTGTGAATAGTGTCTTTGAACCAGTTAACTAGGCTAGTCCTCAATAGTGACTACAATTGTCAAAACCATTGTCGACTTGCTTGCATTTGATGAAGACTAGTAGTTGAACAATGGTTTCTCATAGTTGTTGATTGAGACTTGTTTACCGTGGATTCTGCTGCCGGCTAGCTACATAAGTTTTACATGATGAGGCATTTCAGGTGAGCTTATTTTACCTGACTGGTGTAGTGTCCTGACCACACGACATGAAAGGCAAGCCGGCCTTGACGCACAGGTCTCTCAGCTGGGCTCGAATCTCAATGGCATGGCGCATGTTACGCTGATGAACAAAGTTCTCAAAACACCAATCCTGTAATTACAATATGAAACAGAAGCGGGTACATTTACTGCCCTTCACCTTCGACCCCAGAAGCTTTGGTAGGTGCCCTTTCTGAATCTGTGCAGGTCCAATTAGGGTTCAAAAACCTATTCTAAGACTTCTTACGAGAAGAACAAATTTAACAATCTACTCTTTATATGCTTCCCCTTCTTTATTATTTAATACAAGTCATGCCAGTTATTACAGAACAACAAGTCTATGCTAATTTTCAACTGGACAAAGTATGAGGCCGAGTCAGAAAGACTTGGCTTCGACATGTGTCTTAAGAAAGCTGCTGATGAAGCCACTACCCATACAACACATTCAGCCAAGCAATTTGCGGCCTCAGATTTACAGTTCTGACCTAAAGCAAGTTGGGGGGAGGGGGAGAGGTGATTTAAAGTTAACCATATTTCGACTAACTTCACTCTAATGAAGAACGGTTGGACTATTCTAGTTTGGAATCATACCAGGGGGCAAGCTTGCATCACTGGTTACCGATAGTCGTGCGCATCATAGAACACAACAGGGAACCAGGTCCAAGGACTTTCATGATGACATTCTGACAACCGTGTGACTGTAGGCGTTGGCATCTTGCTATTGGTGCGCGGGCAAAATTTACGCCACAAATTAACCACTAATCAATTAATGGTCCTTGTCCGAACTTGTTCTTATAGTACCTTACTTTTAACTATGAAGCTAATTTTCAAAGTCTGTTAATTTGTCCTGACCTTATTTCCCTTGACCCCTTTGTAGGCCCTGTAGATAGTCAGTAAGGTCACATGATCACCCTCGCTGGATAGAAACTTCCTCCATGCGGCTAGCGCAGCCTCTCTCTGTCAAACAGGAAAATGGAGATGTCGTCCTCAAAACAAAGCCTAATTTTGACAAATTAACAGATACAAGCATGTGTAGCACTTTTTTTTTAAACAGCAGTTTTATATACTTCACATACCTTGTTTTGTGGCGAGTGCTGGATGGATTCCACGGACAGTAAGGACACGATGGTCAAAATTTCCTCACTGGAAACATAAACAGATTTAGCTGTTTTGAGTGGCAAGGGATAAAATAAATAAATGGACTTCCAAGGGTCATGTTGAAGAAAAACAACTGCTATTTGTAATCCTGTGTTCTTTTATTTGAAGTTTTATTCTAAGTACCATGCATTTTGGTAAGCACCTCTTTTTTTCACTTCTTCATGTTTTGATTTTGTTTCTAACCAAAAGTTTTTTAAATTAAAGTGTGAAGACTTATTTCAAATATTCCGGTACTTACAGGCAGCCATGTTGCTTGGAAGCTAGAATGACCCGAGCTAGTCTGGGCTCAAGAGGAAACACCGACATCTGTCTGCCGATCGGGGTCAACTAAGATCAGAAATATTATGGAGAAAATATTATCACTGGGTATGCGCAGATGACCTGATTGCAATACATATTCATACGATCATGCATATTTACACCATACATATTCATAACATTATACATGCTCATAATTCATCACATACAAAAAAGAAATATTAATTATAATTTCTTCATAAATATTCATTCAATCCTCATACATATTCATACACAATCATTCACATTGATAGCACAAAACTCATTCATACAAATTACTGATACATATTCATACCTTCTTAAGTATTCATAAACATACATATTCATAAGCTTTTACCTGCTGGTTATTTTCCTTATCCACTGCACCAAGCAGTTGCAACTGCTCCAGAGCGCTGCTAAGAGACTGGAATACAGCAAAAGAAGTCAACAAAAAATAACTTAAGAAAATAATCATAAATTTTAGAGTTTTTTGCGAGTAGAAGCAAAACACCAACAAAGCCTGTGACCTATTCAACACAAATGCATGGATAAAAACAACACAATATTCAGTAATATTTCTTTTGGTACAGAAAATGTTGATAGGTAATTAGGTTTTTTCCACCTCTTTCTTAGGAGGATCCATAAAGTCAAACGTCAACACGTCGCGTATATTCAGGGCAAGTAGCTGCAGCACCACACTGGCAAGGTTACATCTGAAATATTCGCAACAAAGGATATCAGGAAATCACCACATGAAATCATTAAAAGAAAGTTTGATGGCTTTTTCGCCAAAATTCATGTGTAACATTATAACTTTACTAAATATGACATTTACATAATTTTAGCAAGTGTATGATGTTGGGATTTTTTTTACAAAGACCAACTTTGCTACTTTTATCTTTACAGGCATCTTAATCAAAAATTTGTTGTTAATATTCATAATGTGTTGCTGTTAACTTATCTCCTTTCTTTTTTTCCTTTGTACCTCTGTATTTCAGGTATGGTGTTCGCAGGCAGACGAGTAAACTCATTCTCAGTGTACAGTCGCCAGCAGGTGCCACTGTAAACCCAAATGGGGAAAAAAAATCTTAAAACAATGAATAACAGAAGTGAAGGATTACAGAAAATGATGAATTTCATTATATTTTTTTCTTCATATGTGGGATTATTGGGCGATGTAAAATTGAAAAGTGGCTTGTTTTTTTAAAGAGGGAATTTCTCACAGGTTCTCACTATTGCTTTATGCACTTCAAACGCAATGTCATTAAAGGCCAAAAGCCAGTTTGAAAGTAAAGTTTCTTTGTCATTGGTGTTGTGAAGATGGAATCGATGACTTGCGATAAAACATCTGATGTCTTGTGATTGACTTAAAATGCCGTTGTGCAACTAAGAGGTAGAGGAGTACCCTGATCCACATATGGTGAAGAGAAAAACAAGGGATTTTTGATAATTGAAAACCCCTTAGAGAAAATGAAACCCCTTAAGTGCCACCCCCAGCCCCTCCCCCTGCAAACTGGACCTCAGTTGCATCATTGCAACTCTGTCGTTGATAGTTCCAACAGCGCCCTCACAAGTTCCTCCACGGAGGGCAAATACTGACCTGTCCTCTCGTCCTGCTCTGCCCGTTCGTTGCCAGGCTTGGGCCTGTGAGATCCACTGCACTTTGAGCAAGTCTAACCCACTACCCGGCTGGTAGCTCCTGATTCAAAATAATAATTCACACAAAAAATTGAGGAATTTGCAAGGAAGAAAAAATGTGCCTCTCTCTTGTTGTTTTCAATTGTTATTTTGAGTGGAAATTGAATCATGGGAGATTTTTGACGAATATTTGTCAGCAAATTTAAACACTAGCCAAACATTTTAGTACCTGTCAATATATACATATAAATACATGACATTCTGGCTATCGCTAGCAAATTTTTGCAAGAAAAATCTTTACTGCGCTTAGCACAATATCTTGAATTTTGGTAGCTCACTTAATCTTGGCCCAAATATATTTTGGAGGTTCTCTGATTTTGATTGAAATGATACATTTTAGATGATATTTGCACTTACTTTGCCTTGACCCTTCCAGTGTCTATCACGTGTTTGATGCCTGGGATTGTGACAGATGTCTCTGCGATATTGGTGGATAGAATGATCTTCCGTCTACCCTGGAACATAAAAAAGGAAACTGTTTAAAAGTCACCTTTTTTCTAAAGTGGATACACATTAGAAACAATTGAGCCTTTATTGGGACTTTCTACTGACGCTCTTGGGTAAACTTTTGAGGAATTTGGGAAAATATTTCAGAAGCTTGATGGCTACAGAGGACTGATCCTAAAATTCAACCATATTCTCCAAACAAGATTCCAAAACAGAGTAGATAAACTCTTTGAGGCTTTGATGCTTACAGGCTGTGTTGGCTGAAAGACTTTCATCTGCAGATGGGATGGTAAAGCTGCGTACATTGGAGTAACCACTATGCCAGGGCAATCTGACGGGAAAAACAACGACAGAAAATTGGCATTTTTTTTGTCAAACACCGTTAATAAAATAACATACAAGAATGCTTCACTTTAAGATAAGAAGTAACTCCTTTGCTGGATTTTGCAGAGATCTGTTTTAACTTGTCATAATAAAAGGAAGTTAAAAAAAAACAAGGTAATCAGCTAATCAGAGGAAAAGTTAGATGTCCGCATTTCTAAATCTAACCTGAGGGAAGATCTCTGGCAACTTCCTTGATGGACCTCACTAAGGTCTCAATCTCTTCTTGACCCGTAAGAAACACCAGCATGTCCTCACTTCAAAAGCACAGAAAAAGAACTGACAATCAGAGGCACATTTCGAAAAAAATAACATCAGTGTATCAAAGCGTCATTTCTCAAGTATTTTTCTAAATAACTATTTGATTACTTGTGTTCTACAATACAGGTATTTATTTCTCCAGCTTACCCGGCTGGCTGCTTCTGATGAATCTGAAAGACGGCGACCATTGCAGCAAAGAGGTAGTCACTCTGGGAATCACTGGAGTAAAGCAACTACAAACAAACAGCAAACATGGCAACCACAGTCAAATTTGATTTTTGACATTATCCCACAATAAATGCTTAAGCAACAGATTTCATAAACTCTAATTCTGGGGGAATTTGGGCAGGGGAACATCAAACCATGTCGTAAGAGTTAAATTGCTACCATGACAACCACAAATGATTAATTGTACCAATCACACACTTGGATTTTGGACAAGTATGGAGAGCCAAAGTGTCATAATCTAAACCGAGGACGTTTCACTTGGACGTTGTTTTCTACCTGTATTGGATGTTGCCTTCCTTGGAGGTACAAGACTGGTGCGTTGTTGAAATACCGCGAGAAATGGTCGACGTCCATTGTTGCTGACATGACCAAGACCTGGAACAAAGACAAAGTGTTAATTCATTAGTTGCTTTGTCCTAGTTTCCACTGAAAACGGGTTGGGACAATGACCTTCATTGAGATAATACATGATGAAAAAAGTGACGTCAGGATAAAACATTCTTTCCAAAGGGCAGAACCCAATATTGAATTAGAATTACTTTCAGAGCTCGAGCCTCGTTTCCAGATCGCTGCTTCTGTGCCTTCTTGACGACGCCAAACAGGACATCGGTGTGGACCGTTCTCTCGTGGGCTTCATCTAGGATTACAAAGCTGTATCTGGGGACAGGAGAGGACAAAATGGAAAAAGAAAAATGGTTACAATAGAATTGAACTGAACCTTGCTTTTACTTCACTTATATTTTTTATTACATTAAAGGAAATATACACCATTTGCAAACATCAAAAAACAAAACTGCCAAATTATTATAAAACACCTTACTTGACTGAAAGTGAATAATAATCTCACGTATCTCGTTAAATCATGACACCTTGTGTGCTGTCATTTTTCAAGAAAAGATGAATTTTTGTATCATCGGCCATCATTGGACAAAAACTGACTTTTTCCAAAAACTGCCCCAATTTACCAAATGTAGTTCACACTTTGTTTGCAATCGGTTACACATCCGTGAACGGGTACAAGCCAGCTAGTCTGGTTCCCTAATCTGACAATTCCCAAGTAGGGTCAGGGAACCAGACTACAAGAACAGAATATTATTTTTTTTTCCTCGCTTTTCTAGCATCTATGAACACGAAACTGGTCAGTGTAACAATATTTCCTATAACATACTAACCCCTAAATCCATCCATTTCTGAAAATTACAGCAAAAGCAAATGTTGTATATTACCGTTAACATCCAAAATTTATTGGTATTTTGAGTTGCAATGACCTTGCTTGTCTTTTTACATTCTTTGTGAAATTGATAAAAGTTTGTACTTGGAAAGTTTCGGATCCAAGATCGCTTCTCGAAGTAGCATCCCATCCGTCATGTACTGAAAAACAAAACAATTTGGAATATAAAACCACAGTCACGAAACTACACAGCTTTCCATTAAATGTTCATCCCGACTTTCGGTAAATTGAAAAATCAAAGCTTTGTCAAACTCTGCAGAAATCAGTAGACATGTTAGTTTTGAGGGCGAGTCTTTTTGTTTGTGGACAACAGAGGAACAGAAATTGTTGGCCTAAAATCAATTTGGTTATGAGAGAGCTGGAGGGATTCTTAAGTCAAAAATGCATACCTTAATTTTTGTCTTGGCAGATGTGGTGTCATCAAATCGCACACAGTACCCAACCTGCAGAAGTCAAGATGCAGTAAATACCATAAAATTACAAGATAAATAAATACAATTCAAAACAGTGCAATTGAAAGCATCTTCAGTGACCGATCCATGCAGGTATTTCCTTTCACACAATAATTTCTTGCTTACCTCTTCTCCAAGATTCACATTCATTTCTTTTGCGACCCGTGTTGCTATGGAGATGGCTGCTACGCGACGGGGCTGTGAATTAAACACACCCAAAAAAAGTAAAATAAATAACTAAAATAATATTGAGTAAAATTTTAAAAATGAGTAAATATAATGCACAAACTTTACCTGAGTGCAGGCAATAGTTCCCCCTTTGCACATGTTGCCTTCCACCAAGTACTGAAAGGGAAACAAAAAAGTGAAATGTTTTGAATATGAATTGCAAATCACACTATGAAACAAATACATTTTTTTGAAACTGGATGATCTTAAGCAATTTAAAAGTGAGTCGGGCAGATTTCAAAATAGCGTCCCAACAAAACAAGCCTGATTTAAAATTGAAAACATTACCTGGGGTATTTGTGTGGTTTTGCCACTTCCCGTTTCACCAATCACGATGGAGCTTGCATTTCGCCTCAGCTCACGCATCAGCTTCCCTCTAGCAGAATAGATGGGCAGACTGCAGCGGTGCTGGTACAAGTCCTCTGATTGGTCCATGCCATTCCCATTCGAGAACCTTTGCCGCTTTGGCAAAGGGTTTCCAGAGTTCATGATGTTAAATTATTTTGCAACTTTTCATTTGCTAATTTTTTTTTGTTCAGGAAAACTCACGTCTCGATGGATCTACACATTTAGACCTGTAAATTGTCAGAAAAAATAGAAAACAATGCATTTTAAAATAGTAAAAATGTCCTCTTTTTCTTATTGTGAAAAAAATTCGGTCAGGGATTGCAAATAAGTGGAAAGATTCCCATATCTGGCCATCACTTGTCACCCTGTGCACAAACTCTATGGGACTGGTCTGAAAATTTCTTTCTCTGAGTGTTTTCTCAGTAAAACAAAATTTGTCAGTGTTAATTTTGACTGTTTAGGACATATTACCACTTTTTAAATTTTTTTTCCCCATCCCCAAATAAATAAGAATATTCTTCTTTTATTATTTTAACATGTCTCAAACATTTTATTGCAGAGTATTACATTTTCTTTTTCAGATTTGTGGCTCTGGAGGATTTTTTTTAAAAGGGAAATAAAGTCCGAAATTATAAAATGGTCTGAATCCCATCTTGTGAATACGAGGTTACAACGATAATATTGGCATGGAGCCAGACTAAAATTTGTCACCGGAAAATGTTTTAAGTACAAAAAAAAGTAACTGCGCATATTCAGTGCATATCCGGCAAACTAACGTTTACTAAAGGTTTGCCGTCTCCGGCAAAATATCCACTGCCAAAAAAACCCAAATGAATAGACTTTCAAGTATCATCAAAACAATGGTTGCAAAAAACAATGTCATTGACATTAATTATAATAATTAATAGTATTTATTTATAGTAATTAGTATCTGGATAACAAAGTTTTGAGCTTCACTTTTCAGTGTACCAAATTGCGCCCTCATGTGTTCATGTTTAACACACGCATACTTGGCGAACTCTTGGCCGCACGATTTCGCTTCGGTACAACATTTTAACATTTTACGAGTAATCAAGAAATCCGAAATAAACGTTACCTTCTTCTATGTATACCACGGATGCATATATTTTATTTCCAGAATCCGGTCGTCTTCGTAGGATAGAAAATATGAACTGTAAATGTGAGCAATTCACGACGCGCTCATCCATTCAACAAAAAACACGTGGGTAGCAATTGGACGCAAACCTAGACTCTTGTCACAATAAAATGAACGACCTATTTTGACAGGAAGGCACCAGTCTATTTGGGCGTTGTGTTTATATTTACTTAGTTCCTCGTAAGAATTTTTGTCACACGGCGGAAGATTGTGAGTATCAAGTGTAAGATCAAATAACTGTGGTCATCAAGACATTTAGAAGATTAAAATACGATGCTTCACAGTGAAAGTGACATTGGAAATCTGTCTTGCAAGTTTTTGTGAAACTGGATTTGTGTAAAAATCCTGAAAATATAGACAGCCACAAAATCTTTCCAACAAGTTATCCAAATTTGAAAATGGAAGATCAAGAAAAACTGTCGTAATGATGAACCATTGTTTTCTTGAGTTTCCTCATCCAAATAGGTTCCCCATGTTTATGACGTTCAAGCACATTATGACGTGGCAAGAGAGGTTGCTTTGGTTTGGGCTTCTTGTGTTCTCCTCTGTGTCTTCCCAAGCACAAAGTATAGGTAAAATATTTTTAATGGTATTTGGTAGAATTAAAATTTTAATCGAGCTTTAAAGGTCGTTGTTATTGTAATATTAATCATTGTATTGCTACGATTATCATTGCCTTTTTAACCAAAATCCCTCAAAACTTGTTTCATCAACATCATTTATTATCATCATCATTGTCACAATAATGTTCATTTTTCTCCTGGCATATCTGATCACTCCAGACCGTTTTGATGAGATTCGTCTTTCGGACGGGGACCTAGGTCCCCACGAAGGGAGACTGGAGGTTTACGTCAACGGTAGTTGGGCAGCAGTCACCAGCACTGGATGGGGGCTCAATGAGGCCAACGTGGTCTGTCGACAACTGGGCTTCCACGCATCGTTTCCTGCTGCCGTCGGTCATAGATTTGGCACGGGGATAGAAACGCCAGTTCTGGACAAGGTCTGTGACAAGTTTTCTGCCGAATTACGGTAGAATGCGGCTATAAGAAAATCGTAGCGAACATTTAGCTACTCATATCCACGCCGTTTTGACTCCAGAAGTTTATGTTCTATTTCATTATCTGGGCAATGGTGGCCCAAATTCGCTGTAAGAATAGCCAGATACAGAACAATATTTCTGGACCCATTGTATCAGTTTTTTTACGTTTTGCCGTTCTTATGCAAACACAAAAAAACTTTTCAGTTTTTTCTGGTACGCAAGACTGATTTTGGTGGAAATGCTCGATCCTTGTTGAACAGCTACATGTACCTCTTTTTCTCAATTGAAAAATCATGATATAAAGCACAGAAGAAAATGGTCTGCTTCTGCAATGATTTGTATCGAAAAATTGTTGGCAATACCTGTTCTTCATTTTTCCGACTGCAGGTAAAATGCAACGGCGGTGAAAGCCAATTGGATGAGTGCTCCAACCGCGGATGGCTGTGTAGAGGCACCTGCAGCGGCGACAATTACGCTGGTGTCAGGTGCATCAATAAGGCTATGCCTGGTAATTATATTCCCTTGGAATATTACTGGTTCTTTACACAAAGGAGTTTTCTTGATTTGGCAATAAGCCCCTCCCACTTTCTGTTTGTGTGCAGTTCTCAAAGACAAAGTGACCGAATTTGACTGAGCTATCGTCAGCCCAGTCTCCAACTCCGGGCATTAGTGGAGGCCACGTACCAGCTAGGGGGCACACCACAAGAAAAAAACACAATTCTCGATAATTTTTACGCTTGTGGTTTTTGCCAATTGGGGGGGGGGGGGGGGGGGGGGCATTGAACCCCCCCCACCCCCCCCCCCCCCCCCAACTGGTGACAGGAAGTGAGTCAGGCAGATTCTCGAATATTGTGGCAACCTGAAGACATTACAGATTTATGCATGGTTTGTGCACAACATAAGAGTGCAATTAGTTGTGCATATTTTGTACGATATGTTTGTACATCAAACAGGGCTATAGATCTAGACAGATGCCTTGTTTTTTGAGGAAATAAGTCCAAAACTGTCACTTTTCTTTTCCCAAACAGAACCACTTTATCAGCTTCGGCTCGCAGGCAGTGCCTCACAGTTTGAGGGGCTTGTTGAAGTGAGGTACAACGATTACTGGAGTCCGGTGTGTGGCATAGCGTTTGACTTCCTGCAAGCGATCACTGTGTGCCGACAGCTAGGCTACGGGCCGCCAAAACACTACAGGATCTTTACTGAAATTGATCCAGGTAACATGATGACCAAACGTGAAATTTCTGTTAGCCTTGTTAACAACAAATATGAAAAAAACAGCCTAGGCTTATTCTTTGCCATTTAGGCCTTGAAATACCCATTGGACGGTCCAGAGATATTGCCACTACGCGTCTAGGCCGGCTTCAAATCAAGAACTCGGCAATCCTTAAAATCCATTTAAAAAAATGCAAAACCACATTCCCTAACATTCTGGGAAATAAATTCCATAAGTTTTCGCCTTTTAAATTTTCTTTCTTTTTCTCTGTCTTCCCTTAAGAATCCCGTCCCAAGCTTATCCACCGTGCCTCATGTCACACGTGGCACCGCAGCCTGCTGGACTGTGGAGTGAATGAAGGAGACGGGACAGTCTGCACACCGTCCGACCCTGCTGCTCATGTAGCATGTAACAAACCCTCAGGTACTAGACTTAAAAGATGGCATCAACATTTCTAACATGATCATGATAAATTGCTAAAATTTCAATTGTGCAAAAATTCAAATTTGAAACATGAAATTTTCTAATATGAAAATTGAAATTTTCTAATTTAAAAATCAAAGTTTTCTTATTTGAAACTTGATTTTTTTTAAATGAAAATTGATTTTACTAATTTGAAACTTGAAATTTTCTTATATGCAAATTGAAATTTTCTGATTTGAAAATTGAGGTTTTCTAATTTGAAAATTGACATTTTCTAATTTGAAAATCAAAATTTCTAAATTGGACATTATATTTCAAAATTGGGGAAAAAAAATGGCATTGATTCTTTTAAAATGTCTTCAATTTCAAGATCCCTACCCGTTGTATTTGGATTCCCTGTCGCACCGGTATGAGGGCGCTGTTCGCATTTACTCGGACGGGCAGTTCGGAAAGATTTGCAACACTGGCTGGACCCTGCAGGACGCCCAGGTAGTTTGCCGTCAACTAGGCTATGGCTCAGCGGTCGGTCATAACGTGTGAGTGAGAGGGGTTTGTGACTTGGTCTGAAATTAAAAAAAAAACTACAAAAGTTAATTACAGTAAAAAGGAACCTTGACAAAAAGAAATTCAAAAATCTCTAAAATTTTCCAGAAATCCTCCAAAACCAGCTTGAAAGTCATGGATCCAGTGGGGGTAGGGTTAAAACTAAATGTTACCAATTTTAATTGAATTAAAGTGTTTTCAGGAAGTTCATACTATTTTTATTTTTCAGGAGTTGAAGTTTGGCTCGCAAAATTGTTTTCCTTGTTCACAAGGAAGTATAGAATTGTCAACAAAGAGTGAAGTTTCCTACCACAGAGGCTATTTTATGGCACTGCCTTTGGCTTGTTCTTTTCTTGTTTGACTTTTCCATCTTCTTTTCTTGTTTCTTCATTTTTGAGCAGAGCTCCTGAAGATCTTGCGGGACCAAGTGGCGAGCCTATTCTGCTTGACGCTGTGCAGTGTAACGGCAGCGAATCTCTCTTAGCTGAGTGCAGTCACAAGCCTTTCAGAGACACAGCATGTGATGACCAACAGCAGGCATTAGTAGAATGCCGAGAACCAGCGCTAGAGGGTGAATATAATACTTGTTATAAGTCATCTTGAGCAATCTAAAAGGTGTTGGATCCAGAACAAATTTAGAAATGAAGAACAATGTTCAGAAAAGGGTCATTGTTTCAGACATGACAGATCTGAAACGGTGAACTAGTGTCTGAAATGTCAATCCTTTGTTCACTTTTCAAACTTTTTGTTGAGAAATCATCGGATGTATGTGGCACAAATTAATTGAACCTAGTTGGTTTCTAGTCAGTTCTGAAGATTTATAAACTTAAATGGGTTCCTCACAGACTGGTTGATACAATGTAAACAATTGTTTTGACAGATTTGACGCTGCACATCGCTGACGGCAGCGCTTACCGAGGCCGCTTAGAGGTGGCCTTCAATGGCGAATGGTTGGCCATCTGCAATGACACCTGGGATATGGCCGCGGCCAACGTCACGTGTCGTCAGATCGGTCTCGGACCAGCGCTCTTGGCGACGGCGGAGTTTGAATTCAAGCCGCAGTTCGTAATCTGGAACGAAGTCTCGTGTGAAGGAACAGAAGATAGGCTAGCTCAATGCCGGACGTCGCAGAGCGGACAGTATTCGTGTGCCAGTGGTAAACTGGCTGGCGTGACCTGCAGCCCCTATGGGATACCCAACAAACAAGCAGGTGAACATTTCGAGCAGAAAAATGCCCAGGGTTACCCCCCCCCCCCCCCCCCATTATCTTGTATTTCTGTTGTCTTTTGTTTCACAATTTCAAGAAATCACTAGAATGATAGGCAAACTATAAGGGAGTGTTATTACCTGAATTCAGTCTCAGTTTTGTTGTGTGCAGATAAATTACATCTGACTGCCGGCATCTTGCCACACGATGGCGCTGTTCAGCTGTACAGAAACGGCATCTGGCAGGCGGTGTGTCCGTCAGGCTGGGACGGCAGGGACGCTCTCGTTGCCTGCCGTCAGTTGGGCTATCGCGGTGCTGTCGATAACAACGCGTTCACCACAGAGGGGCCCTTCTACATGGACAACGTGACGTGCGCAGGGTCAGAGTTGAACTTGACTAGCTGTGGGCATGACCTCTTGAGGCAAGGAGCGAGGTGTAAGAATGACGTGGGCCAAGCTGGTGTGACTTGTAATCCCTTCACTGGAATCCAAAGTCCTGCAGGTACAGTATGATTTTTATTCATTTTGAATATTAACCTCTTAACCAGTTCGCGCCGACATTATTTTGACATTGACCAGACCCAGGCACGGTATTGTTTTTCACGAACCTCGATGCCAGATGGGTTCAGGCTGTCATCTCCAGGTAGCACACCCTGATAGTTTCAGCCTCACTCGTTGCAAGCGGGACGCAGACAGATATTTCTGGCCTCGCTCGTTGCATTTTTATTTGTTATCCGTTCTGAATACCGCAAAACCTTTGCGTGTATACACGTCATCCATCATGAACTGGTTAAGCATTTTACAGAAATCAACCACAGTACAGGAACCAAGTTTGCAGTTTTGTACTAAATTTTCCCAAATATTTAAACAAATCCTGACAGTTAAAACTTTGGACATTTACTGCAAGGTTAAGATTAACATTTACCAAATTAAAATGGATTCCTAACCCTTACCTCAGATTCCACGCCCCTTCGTCTCGTTGGGGGCAAGACGTCGCGAGAGGGGCAAGTACAGGTGTATTTTGCTGGCTCCTGGGGTGCAGTGTGTGGAGGCAGGACCTGGGACATGAATGCTTCCCACGTGGCCTGCCGTCAACTTGGCTATGAGCGAGCTGAGGAGACTGGCACAGGAGACGTAGAGAAGGTGAGCTCCTGTCTAGAACAATAACAGCAAACAAATTACCATTTGCTTAGCACTGAGGCGCAATGATTACAGTGTCTAGTGTGTCCATATGTGAGTTCAAAACCTTAGGGGATTATGGTGTTTGTGTTCTTGGGCAAGAGACTTTACTACAATTTCCTCACTTTACCGAGGAGTATAAATAGGTACCTATGAGGCTAGAGAACAGATTGTGTCGATCCAGAGTGGGTGCCGAAAACTGGGCTGTTGGCCCAATGAACAGGGACAGTGAAATTGAAACCAACAAATTGGTCCCAGACTTGCATGAGAAGCAGTGTCTTATTATGTCACACATTATTTTCATTTCTTGAGCCACAGGGGACGATGTTCTTACTTGATGGAGTGGAGTGTCTTGGCACCGAATTGATGTTGTCAGCGTGCGCTCATGCTCCGTGGGGACAAGTCAACTGTTCACCCAGTCAGACCGCGACAGTCGTCTGCAAAGAACGTAAGTCAGTACTTCACAGAGTCTCCATTCAGTAGAAAGAACGTTTTTGGTTGTTTTAAGAAGATAGACAGTTACAAAATTTTGTCTTTGACAAAATTCACCTGAAATTGGAGTTCTTCTGTTAGAGCTTGGATGAGACCATTAGGATTTTGTGTCACACCTTTAGCACTTGCATTGTATTTTGATACAGTTGTATTATATTGTGTTACATTTGTATTACATTGTGTTACACTGTGTTACATTGTGTTTAATCTTTGAAGAATCCATAAAACAATATAGCACTGGGTGCGGTATTTGGTTGTACAGGAAGTAAAAGGCGGGGCAGATTGGGGCGGTACTGGAACTAATAGATTCATTTTCTTCAGGTCCAGATCAAGAAGTCGACGCGGGGATAAGCGAATGGGTCTATGTTGGCATCGTCATCGCGGTCATTGTCATTGTCCTGATCAGTGTCCTAGCCACTTGTGTCACCTGGTCCATGAAGAAGAGACAAGCCGAGCGGAGGATCCGTGAGGGGCCCGACCATCACAACGTCCGACACGAGCATCTGGAACAACGGGGTGCAGCTGCGGAGACCGCGAACAGCTCCAGGCCGGCAACTACTGAGACAAAAATGGTGTGAAGGAAGGCTAAGGTGTGAAGACAGGAATGTGTTATGTGTACAATGTACATCACTGCCTGGACATTTACTCATAATTGTCCAGATAAATCTAGTATACATTCCCCCAGTGGCCTTATCGGGATCCTATGGAGGGGGTCTTATGGAGGGGTACATGGAGGGGCCTGTTTAGTAAGGGGGGGGGAGACTCAATTGGCTTTGAACAATAAGAAAAAGGTCAGGTCTGCCTTTCTCAAATTCTGAGGTGGTGGCACAAGTGAGGTGGGGAGGGTGGGCATAGGTCTTGGGGGATGGAGAGCCATGCCCCTCTTAGTTATACAAAAAAAAAAAATTGTGTGAAATGTATAAATAAGTGATTCTATGAAAAATTAAAATGCTCGCATTTTGGAATAATAAACAAGAATATTTTCAAGGTGCCAAATATCACCTTGGTTACAGGAAAACAGTTTTTACTAAAAATGTTATTTGATATTAAGATTAATTAGTAACTCATCTGTAAGCGGAATTGTATTGCTTGTTTACATTGTGTTACAAAAGTGAATGATTTGTATATGCATGCCAAGTATCTTTCTAAATTATGTTACATTTGTGTTATTTAAGTTTTTGCATGTTTTTGTGTGTAATCTATGTTTTATATGCATGAAATGCATTTCTGTTCTCATTTAACAAAATGTCAGTCAGTGTTAATACAACAGGATAAGTAATTTTTATAATTTGTTTGATTGATTCACAAAATGCAGTTTTAGCTCAGTAGAGAAACAAATAATGTCATTTTTTCTGAAATGGAATTATTTCAGTGTCGCAACCAAATCATCTAAAATATAATTTATTCAAAGGTTTTGTCAGAAGGTTCAAGCTTCCGTAATACCCAGGGCGGATGTGACTTCATCCATACACTTGCTTTAATTTCAGACAAGAGTTTGAAAATACCGAAATTGTAAACAATGTTCAAAATGCCATGACTTTGCATCTGTAGCGCCCAGACAAATTTGTGTAATTGTCAGCATCAACAGGGTATTGATTAATTTATTCGTTTTGAGTTTTTACTGAGATAACCACTTCGTGCATTCCTAAATTTGTCTTCGAGGTAAGAATTTGTTTTCAATTTTGACCTAGTAACATTTGTGTGTGTGCGTGAATGAAGCGCATGTCAGGTTTTTTTAATTGATGAAATAGCATGTGACGCTCTCGTTGGGATTTGTTTACACTTTTGTGTTTTTCAAGTATGATTTTTTTCGAGGCAAAACATTTTGTGTATTTAATTTGTGCTTGTTTATTGAATCAATTTATTAATAAACATCCTGTGAGGATAATGTGCTTTATTATCATTTAATTGTATAGGGATTATTTTGTTTTACTTGTTACTTAAATTATTTAAATTTATTCAGCCAACTCCGTTTTTGTAATAGGGAATAGCAGTTTAAACAAATTTGGTTCGTTTGTTGTTGCAGTGTCATTTTAATGCATTCTCTTGCCGCATTCACTGTCTTTCTTAAATCTTAAAAGTTCCTAGTGGTTTTGAAAAGTTACATTTCGATGAATAAATCAAGTGATATCAGCAGTAATGTGACATTCGTTTAGATTTCATTGTTAATTTTGTTAAATTATGGTGTTCGTTTCCCCACTTTTCAAATTTAGCCTTTTTAAAATTTAGCCTGGTTTTCGTTTGCTAAAAGAAAACAATTTAAAATGCGTTATGATTTGTTTGCAAATCACGGGCTTTTACTTTTTAATAAAAAAAGTGATTTTTTTCCTGAAAAAATATTTCTATTATGATCTTATTCTACTACTTAAACTATCTTTTGACGCGAGTTGAAAATATTACATTGTAACGTGGTTTTATGCAATTTTAGACTGCATGTACATGTACTGGCATTATTCAATCTTTTCCAAACAATTTATTTTTCTTATGCACGAAGACATAGATGGTATGGGGAATCTTGGCTGAAAATAACTCATAATTTGTGGAGTTCGACTTGTGCCATTACAATTTTTTTGAATTGTGTATGTCTGCAGCACTTTGCGTAATGCTTGACTGGGTTAACTCGTCTCATTTAGTTAGTTAAACTGGCCATTAAGCACACGCGGGAACTATCATCAGCCACAAAATAGGGGGCCCTTTTTGAAACTGAACGGACATTATCTAAGGACATAATGGGACTTGACGCGATTGAAGAAGGGGCTTTTGTAGCCGGCCGGCCCTCGGAGTAATTTCGATGATGGCTTGGGGAAATGATGGTCAATCTCTGTTCTGATTGCTACTAGAATAATGGACGGACCTACCCGCTTTTACTTTCAGGGTTAAAGCATTTTGACCGAGGCTCCATCGACAAATTCAGATATTAAACGTTTGTGACAGCAACTTTAAATTATGGCTCATAATAATTATTGTATGCTGGAGAAAGTACTGGTCTACATCATAAATAAACGAGTTATTTTTTTCATAGCATACAGGGTGGCCTGAAAAAAACACCGGAACGGCATACTTCCACTACCTTGAGACTCAAACCACCTGTACCAATGGATGGAGAATCTTTTTCGAAGAAATATGATACCAAGATCTCCCGTTTCGGTTGGTCCAGTAGTTTTGCTGCAGAGCCTATATTTTGTGAAGCACACATCTTTTATGCAGGCATTGTTACATAACAATTAATCCCTCCATCCAATTAAGTCAAATTCGGTTAGTAATTTATCGAGACAACTGACTCCTAACTTTTTTTCCACAAAACAGGCTCTAGATCAAACTTGACCGAATCGGGCGATCTTTGTATTTCCCATGCATTGATATAGGTTGTTTGGTCTCATGTAGGGTAGCAGAAGTTCGCCGTCCCGTATTTTTGGGCCATCCTAGCCTTTGACGTCATGTGATGCATAGGCCTATTGCTATGATATCGCTGTACTCTGTGGACTCCCTATAAACCATGTTAAAAAATTGTTTACAAATCGGATGTTGTTATTACGTCATGCCAACGTTCAGTCCTCTTTTGCACATGACATCTCGTAAGATGTGATTGGTGTAGAAGTGGTGACGTAAAAAGTTTAATGTGGGCAAATTAAACAACATGCAAAAGATGCTGGTCGGTTGCCCGTTGTGTATGACGTCACTGGTCTACATACAAAGAGAGAAAGCCAGAAAGTTAAAGGGTTTATTAGCAGATGTTTGCCTTCAGAGGCGGTCCTTTCGAAATTCTTGAGCAAAATATCTACTATATTAGATCCCGCCATCAGTTTGCGTTCTCTTCGTGGTCGTCAGATTATTTTCTTAGCGATATCGTTCCTGCTTGCGGTGCGTGTTCGTCATAAAACTGCGGAATTAACGTGAGCCAACTTTATTGAAGGCTGTTTCTTCCGTAAAGCGTTTGCATCAGTCAAGACATATAGGCCCTAATGTGTGTGTGAGAAAAAAATATGCTTCATTTGTGCTTAATCCCGCAATGTGCATGTACTCATCCAATCAAGCGAGGAACCTTACTTGAAGAATGCATTCTTCCTCGCTTGATTTGAATGTGGGTAAATAAATAGATCGGAAGATTGCTCAAGTAGAAAAACTGGACATCACATGATTCCAAAAATCATGGGTTAAGTTGAAATCGATGTGGTTTGTTGTTTGGCTGTTTGTTTGTTTGTTCACTTGAAATATTTTTGGCCTGTAAGTTAGTTCCTCCATTGTCATCTTAAACGTCCGCCGTCTACGAGAAGTGTTCAGTAAATGAGGCACTCACAGCTCCGCCCCGGATATAGTGTGCCATGGTTTGATCATGGAGGAACAAGCATTTCTCCATGGTTTGAGAGTTCTCGTGTTATCTTCAGAATCATCGCATTCGCAAGAAAATTTATATGAAGACGATCGAGGCGGTGAATGGTTGCCTCGTGTAGGTCATCCAACCAAGATAAACAGCTCGCATCTGTTTGCTTCCAGATAATCAATTATGGTTTTTGTTAGCCGCAGTCGTTGATATCCGGAGCTTCTGAGAATATGCCGTCATTTTTTTAAAGAATCTGCTAGGACTGTTTTGCACACTCACTTTTTTTTCTTTCGCAACAGCCTGTCTCCATCCCGCCTCGCAGCAGCTATTCGTACGTGGTGTAGGCAACTTCGTTTTCATTATCAACGTGGCCAGCTCGCTTGCATGTTTTGATAACACTGGGACCCATTAATTTCGTCGAATATCTCGAAGCAAGCCTTCCGCAAGAATACACGTACAATGATGCATTGCCACATCACGACAGTTTGTTCAATGGCATTTTAAATTAATATGGATTTATCGAAAACTAATTATTTAGTTTTATTTTGCTCCTATTATAATTTATATATACAGTGTAAATATATCAAAAATGTTCTGTTTTGACATTTTTGTATAAGAACTAGAAACATTTTTTTTTTGGGGGGGGGGGGGTCTATAACAATCACATTGTATATAGTAATGCGCTGACTCTGAGATGGCGCACATTTTATTAACACATAAGTACGTGCTGGCTTTCTTGTCCCAACCACCGCGCAGACCTATTCTATCCTGATTTTATTACTAGCCCGTAATAATAGAGTCGACCGTTAAAAGCGATGATTCACGGCAGCAATGTCTTTGAATCCTGCAATAGTCACGGATAGAAATCAGAATGCAGCGGCACGTCAAACAGGAGGATATGACTTCGTCATCAAAAGCTTCCGAGAAAACAGCCACCCCTCAAGACTTAGGGAAAATGGCGATGCCGAGCCGAGCGTTGTGTGTTTGCCTTGGGGCATAGCTTGGTGAACAATGGGGTGCAACTTTCACGGACCTTGGGAACTACTTCACGTGCTTGTATTCGGGGACCCCTACTGTGGAACCGTCTCGCCTCTTCTTATGGCTGGCGAGTGGCTAGCGGACAATCAGATGATGTTTAATCGATGGAGAAGCACTAAAGACGAGGAAGTTTTTTTCTGCTATTCGGATTAAGTTGGATAATCTGTGTAAATGGTCCGAAGATTATCTATTATGCTTGTTTATCCGGGGGCGTTTTTTTTGGGACGGCTGGGGGATAATGGTCAGGCGGCGAGTAGTATATGGTTACTAATTCCATGCAGCTACTTTTTTCTCCATGTGATTCTGAAGACAAAAAAAGTTACAAAAGGGTTTCATTTACCTGAATCAGCAGCCCACCCCACAACAATCGAAATCGTTACTGGTCTTTGAAAGGCATGGATAGGGAATGACGTCAGCTTGGTCTCGTGACGTCAGAAATGACAGGCCACATAATGGCATCACGACATTTGAGATTTTAATTTTTATGTAAGACAAAATTAAGTAGAAGAACTTTCCAAACCGTGTTTCTTTTTTTAGAACATCGTGCACTCGTAATCAGTCATAATCTGTGATTCTGAAATCTTACAAAATACACACATGTACATTTTTTGTCTTCACAAAAAAAGGGGAATAAAGCCCATCCAAGAAACGTCCCATAGTTTGGCAATTTTCAGGATATTGCCATGCATGCATTTTCCATTTAGGGAGAATATTGATCAAGAAAAAATGCCTTTATGCATGGCGATGGCAGAAATAAAGGCTTTATGCAACTAACCAATTTAAATACAATTTAGACATCAAGTTCATTTCAGGCCCATTGCAACTGGCGTCGAGTGCGGCTGTAATAAGCAACACGCAACCGTTGCAATAAAGCAATTATTATATGAAATTGCACGGCAGATGGGGACATCAAATACTCCGATAAAGTAATTTGCTACAGACTGTGTCTCTCTACAGTGCTCGGCATTAATCAGTTGGGACAAATGAGAAAGAAAACAGTCCTGATTCACCCTACTCGAACTCCCCGAATTCATATTAAAATTTATCTAGCTTTCTTGGAAGACACAAAATAACGTGTGAGCCGCAAGAACAATTTCACCTCAGCCAGAATCGTTTATTTTTCTTGTAAATAAATTGCCTGCATAGTGCGTTGCAAATATAATGGCCGTCAACATCACTTTATCGACCGGCTTCCCATGAAAAAGAGCTATCTCTTTCCAAGATCTACTTCCGATCTAAGCGGTAACAAGACTTTTTTGTTGTGATTCCGCGGGTGATGACGACATAACTGATTATCAGACCCTAACAGAAGTGTGCACATGTAATAAAGGGGCGTTTATAAACAAGAACCAACGGAAACGCCGCCACATGGGTCAACTACAGCTTACTACACACAGGAGCTCTTGCTGATACCTGTTGCACACAGTAATGTCAGTTTTGTGTTACTGTGGGAGTTGCAAGGAAACATGATGAACGAAACAAACTTAACTCTAGTCGAGGATGATGTTGGCTTACGAGTGATAGAAGGCATAGCCTTCGTGAGTATAACTCTCCTGATTCTCACCGGGAACTGCCTTTGCCTCCTGGTCTTAAGACTCGCCCGGGACATGAACCATGTCACCCGGGTGCTACTCATCTCACTGACCGCGGCAGACCTGCTCATGGGGACGGTAGTCGCTGCGCCGGTGCTGGGTACTGTCATCACCCACGGCTGGCCGTATGGGTACGTCTTCTGTGCCATCTCAGCCTCCGGGAATCAGATCTGCGCCACTACGTCTCTGTTCTCGCTCCTCCTGATCAACGCCGAGCGGTATATCTGCATCTGTCGCCCGTTGAGGTACCCTAGTATAGTCACGGTCAACCGAGCCCGGGTTGCTGTCGTCTGCGTGTGGGTCTTTGCTCTGTTCCTTGGTCTCTCCAACTGCTTCCTCCCCGGCAGAATTGCCAACTATCATGAGTACCTCCACTCGTGTTTCTTCGACCCTTTGTCCGGTGAGCCGGACGTCATGGGCACGCTGTGTGTAATTCTCTTTGTCTTCGCGCCCTTTCCAGTCCTCATCTTGATGTACATCCGCATCTTCGTGATCGCTCGTCGTCACGCTAAGGATATGGAGGCTCGAGCCATCGCCATGTACGAGCAAGCTCAGCGACTCAGCCTACAGGAGAACGGCCGGGTCAGCTTGGACCAAGGACGACGGAGATTCTTCCCCGAATACAAAGCCGCCAAAACATTCGGCATCATTACTCTCACGTACGCAATGGCATGGATGCCTTTCTTCAGCATCGTCATCTACGAGAACCTCACAATGACAAAAGCCCCACGAGGTTTAACCGTTACAGCATCGTGCATGGCGTTATCTAACAGTTGGTTAAACGTTCTCGTCTATTACGCCCGCAATGCAATTTTCCGGACAACGGCAAAGAGAATGTTGTCTGGACGTCGTCACCGTTATTCAGCTTCTAGTAATAGATTCTGACATTTTCAGTGTACGTATATCAATTTCAGACTGAGCATTTTAAATATTTAGAATTCATAACATATATTCTTCACTTCACCGATATATCTGATTGTCGACTTCTGAATGGCCTCCTTCACTCTCCTTGACAAATTTGTTTTCAGATGTGTCCGTTTGGGTTAACTTCATGACAAAATAGATGCAGTGGATGCAATTGGTTGTTTTCAATAGTTATTTGAAGAAAACAAAATCGGCTTCCGTACAGTATGTATATGAGACAATGCAAAATATGTGACAATTAACTGCTTGGTTTTCAATAGAACTAAAGTTGCTTTGACCAAATTAATGTTTACTTACAAGCCAGGCTGTTCAAACATTAAAAAGACGTAGACCTAAATATTATCTCGATGTATATCCCAACAGAATAACAAAACTTGAAAACCAAACAAAAACACCTCCCTAAAGAGTCAAATTACTCTACCATTTAGCCTGCATTGGATATTTTGTGCATGGTAAATCGTACCTAATGCGGTTCATTGACGAGTCACAGGAGGTTAATAACGTTGTACTTACCAAGGTTACTTTAGATTGGCTTCCTAATTCGATTTTGATTAAATATCTTGTTAGGTAATTTAATGGACATGATTGTGTTATTCTCTTAAATGACTCAGTGCAAGGCCCATTACTGTGATGACCCGCTCATTTTGGTCAGGCTTTTACCGAGCTAACGTGGATGTCGCACCCGCTATATAAAAAACATACATTTTTCGTAAACTTTTTTTCCTTTCTTGACTTATTCAAGTTACGCTGCCTGGTAACTTTAAACAAAAGACTGGTATCATCAGTAAACACAATATACTGTTGAACCGTGTAGGATGATATTCTGTGCATGTAAATGTTAAACAAAAATATTCCCATGGCGATCGAACGCTTCTTTTTACGTGGTTTTACCTTTGCAAACTGCAAGTTTATGATTGTCAGTTCTGGTATTGTATTGTGGCTAGCTATCTGATACAGTTGTACAGCGATCGGCGTAGGCATATCAGTAATAATACATGACCTCTACACCTGATAGCTGTTGACAAGAGATACATATTCCTGTTTTATTCGCAGAACAAAACTAAAGATCATAGTCATTGTCGTAACAATAATACTACTGTCCTTTGTTGGCGTGTTCAGAAACAGCGAGTTAGAATTGATAAATATTTAATACCGTACTTACTATGGTGCATTGACTCTGAAACTTATCATCTGTCACAGATGTGGTAGTATTTTTGCTCTTGATAACATTCTGTCTTTTTGGTTTTTACTGGTTAGGCCCTATTGATTTTTGTTGTCAAAGGCATATTTCTTATTTAATAGCTTCACAGAGTTCAAATTGTTCATCAAGATTATTTTTAAAAACAAGCTTCAGTACAATTGAAGTTTTAAGTATCGATATCAAATTCTGACTACCTCGTTCTGGGATACAACAGTAATATATCTTCTTGAAAACATGTTTTTAAAGTAGTTTCTGTTGTCTGAATATTTCGGTTTTAACTGCATTTACCCAATTTTGTTTTTACTGACATGTGAAAAATGATAACTCGTTATTTCCGTTTCTATACGCCTTTTAAAAGATGACAGATTACGTCCTTGCAAATTTTGTGACTCGAGGTTCTATTTGCAGCATATCCGGCTCTTCCTCTCATTACACCAACAGCCGGTACTCTTGTGAAAGCACAAACGGAATTCTGAAAACAAATATTCCATCGGCAAGCATTCCAAGTGATTACGGCACACAGGTATCTAATAAATGTCTGTTTTGTACCAAACGTCTTCAATCAAAGAACGGGGAATATCCGTCCAAAAACAATATTCTGGCCCATAATATCCAATGGGCACAGTAGACGCTGTGTGCCTAGGGCGCCCACGAAAAATTCGGGGCCTACGAAAAATTTGAGGGCCTACGAAACATACCACACCGTGCCAACAGGCTTTTAGGATTGTACCACTTTGGACTGGCTTGCTTAATTAGTACAGCTTATCATCATCGTGAAGTTTACGCCAGTTCGGACAATTAATCTGGCCCTGAAAATATTGTGAAGGAAAAGCAAAGCATCGTGGGTATAACTTGCTGCCAAGATCCATGCCATATACACTCCTACAAAAACGGGAAAATATCTTTCCCCACCATGACAAAAATGACTATTTTGTTTGATCTATTCGAAACAGCTGACAGATTTGAAAACAATTATCGTAGGCCTCCCTTAATTGCCCAGAATATCATCAGCCTGAAAGCTTCAGTGGTGCATGGTTTCAATTTGCCGGCTATTTCCTGGTCTCAACGAATGAAGTGAACGCAATAGACAAAACATTATTTGCATTTTGATTGCAATTATTGCCCGTAATTATGTTGACTGTTACATTTTGCCTTAAGGAGCCAATTTATAACACAAAAGCCACCTTAATTGATGACGGGACATTGCGTCAATACTGATTGAAAATACTTTGCCACTTTATTATGTCGAGCAATTTATTCTACACCTCATAATGAACTCCAAATTAGTCTACGTCGAACACTAAAACAGAAGAAGCTCCTGCTCTATACATTTACTCTGTGATTGAAGCCAAGCAATTTCGCCTCAAGCGTCTTTTTATAGCACTTCTCCAATGTGATTGGTTGAGGGCGCTACAACCGAAGGCCGGGCTGCATGAAGACCGCTTTGCGACAACAAAAAGGATAGGACACTGAACTTAGTAGGCAAGCAACCCTCATTTTTGCGTCATATTTATGCACTAGTGCGTTATGATTCAAGGCCATTCTGTGTGTCCAACAGCAAGTAACGGTTGCCACAACTCTCAATGGACATAAGGAGCTTTCCTCTTCCCAACAGCTGCCAAACGATAGAGGGCGCTAATAAGCAATTTGACTTTAACTTCTTTTGACGGACAGAGGGAGTGGTTGTTTCTTGTATTTGTTTATAATTGAAAAGTGAATGTGATATCGCCAAAATACCGATTCTTCGTGAATTTGCGTTGACCTGATTGTTGGGTCATAACTGTGTTGCTATTGACCCTACACAGTTGACACTGTAATAAGTCACACTAATAGACCTATTCGAGTCCAATCATGCCCCTTGTGTTCTCGAACAATGATTGTCACGGCAACGTCTCAAGGAGTTGTCTGGATGATTGGGATGATGTAGGAAGAAAAATCGATGATCATTAAGTCAGTATCAGACAAGTGGTGTTAAAAAATAAATGGATTTTGGGTGACACTCAATATTTGTCGGATCACTCGTTTGGAGAATTTGCAGACCAAGGTTAATGTCCTCATAACATGTCGCAGAAAAGTAATCGTGCTCGCGTGAAATTTTAGTTAGTTTGTAGGGATCGAGGTATGCATTCTTGCACTTAATTCTGGCGTCGCATGAAACAGCCGTATACCGAACTCATTCACACTGAGTAACACCATGGAGCTATATAGCTCCATGGCTACACATACAGACATATTCAAAAACTTCACCCCAATCCGAGCATAATTTTCTTTCACCAAGCCGTCGAGAACAGATTTGCACAGATGTTCGTTAATGCGACACAGCCCCGGGGAAAGTTCCGGGAATTATTCCATCAAACACGCCAATAGTTCATTGAAATCTGTTTTTATTACTCGAGTGAATAAAACATCAGTCCAGCCAGGGGCGGATCCGGGGGGGGGGGGGCGTGGGGCGCACCCCCTTCCCTTTTCATTAAAACAAACAATTAAAAGGGCAGTTGGTGTCAGACCGTAGCCTGCTAGGATTAATTGCACATAAGACAACAATCGTTATTGGGGTCTATCATACTTTCACTCAAATTAGAAAGCGGCGGGACAAAGATAACTGCGACGGGACAGAGGGCGCACGCCACGAGACAGAGGGCGCGCACGACGAGACAGAGGGCGCAAGCGACGAGACAGAGGGCGCAAGCGACGAGACAGAGGGCGCAAGCGACGAGACCAAAAAGGAAGCGACGAGCGAGAGGAGACCTATGCTGTAGAAATTAATATGCGGTATATTACAGGAAAATGCACACAGACTCCTGTAGCAGGGCGGCGTGGGTGGGCACGCCTTGGGCATGGGTGTCTATCGGGGGGGGGGGGGGGGGGGGGGCTTTTTGTCGTGTCCCCCCCCCCCTTTTTTTCGTCCCCGAATAAATGTTGTAGGCTTCAGTTTTATGATAATTCAGGGTAGCTGATTCTATGACTCCAACTCAAAAATGATGTTTAAATGATGATCTTTTGCTCAAAAAATGGTTAAAGTCGTCAGATATTGCCTGAGATTGCACCATAGAGCATCTAGAATCCAAAAATCGGACCCCTCGCCGTTAGGGCTTCGCGCGCTACGCTCTCGCATTACTTTCAATGACATTATGCCCCCCCCCCCGGCCTTCGGCGTAGGCGCCACAACTTGCCCTGACCACGGCTGCATGTCACATTTCACGCCCCCTCCCCTTTTGGAAAATCCTGGTTCCGCGGCCTGCTAGCGTTTATTAATGGAGAAATCATTCAGCCTAATAGGTTATGTGTACACGCAAGAATCTGAAGGAGGAAGCGTGGGGGAAGCGCGGGGAAGTCACAACCCCAGGCAAACTTTTATTAGTGGAGTTTTGTTCTGGGAATTATACAAACAAACACGCAAATAGTTCTTTAAAATCTTTTTTTATTACTCGAGTGAATAAAATATCAGTCTAGCGTGGATAAGATGGAGAAATCATTCGAACACTGCTAGTTTATGTACAATGTGTACCCGCAAGAATCTCAATGGTACACTCATCAAAAATAAAAGAAAGTGTTTGAAAGCATGTCATGCAGCACTGATTTTGTCTACCAGCAAGTTCGGTTCAGTGTGTAATGGGGGAACCAGTCAAACGGGACACAGGCTACTATAACCTGTTCAAAGTCAGGGTACCATACAAAAATCGCGCCACGCTTGGATTTTATATGAGATGCTATAAAATTTATTGCCGCGGCCAAGAGGGTTAAGGGCCGCAGCAAAAACAGTTTATGCTGTCTACAGTGCGTAAAGGTATTGTAGCATAATTATGATGTTGTAAGAGGCAAAAAGCCATTCTATTGTCGAATTTCAGTACCGAATGTTGTCATTAGTGCCATATGCCACTGTGTGGCATGGATATTTTAAGTCATTGGTCCTCTGTTTCAATGACAAAATTTAAATTCATCTTTTCGTCTGTGGACTTCATTCCCAATTTAATCAATTTAAACGAGCAATGATGTATCGAAAAAAAAATACCCAAAAAACTTCATCAAATGTATTTTTCAAGTTCTATTTCTTTATTCGCACTTCTTGGCACATCTTTCTGCCTAGACCACAACACAATTTGGTAAGACACCAGCATATGGCGACCGCCATTGCGACAGTGACGCCAATTACGTCCAGCAGGTAGTACTGAACGGACGACAGGTGCATGGAGCGTGGCTTGAGATGATCGGTGCCGTGTCGGACGGCGTACTCCACCCAGTAAGCGACCTCTTCCAGTGGGGTCATCGGCATGACGCGGTCACGAGCAATCCCAGATAGATGCAAGGCTGCTAATTTGTACCTTTGTAACCAAATTAGGAAGAAGAGATTTCAGTTGCAAAGATAATATGTCATATCAAATATTGTTGTGCCTTAATCTCAAGCAGTTGCATATAGCGAGACATTGTTTGCTGTGAGGGGAACGTTACTTGAGAAAAATCATAACTTGTTCTGACCAAGGGCGGATCCAGAACACATTTTTTTGGGGGGGGGCCAAAGAAACTTTTGGTCCCCAAAAAGTGGGTCCAAAAAATTACAGAGTGGGGTTCGGGGTTCTGACGACAACAAATTAAGCGAAATTGGTGTTACGCCAACGATCGCAGATATCAATACTTCAGAATATTCAAAAGTTTTTGCGGGTCTAATTTTTAGTGAAGCTTTTTGGGTGCTTATTTTGACGGATTTAAATAAATAACAGAAAATTTGCAACGGTTCAAATGCATTGTCACAAAACTCTGCTTTGTAGTAAGCCTTCAACTCACGTTTCGTTATAAATGACTTCCACGGCAGCGTCATATATTGAACGTTCAGTCAGACGACGAATATCGACAAGAACCGCCATCCCCTTGGCGCGTAGTCTGATGACGTTATCGGTTTGGTCACCAAAGACTGGGATTCCCACGATCGGTACGGCGTGGTAGATGCACTGATGAAGGCTGCTCAAGCCGCCGTGGGAAATAAAAGCCCGCGTCTTCTGGTGGCCTGTAGATAGAAAGGAGAGGTACAAGGTAATTTGGTGCACCGAGTGCTGATCAGACATTGCAATCAATTAACTACATGTAGTTATAACCCATACTAATTAGTCATACTTGGTAGTATGGTTAGTAATATAACAGTTAACCATAACTAATTAGTTTTAAAAAGTATTGCAAATACGATATATTAATATTTCGTTATGATACTTTTGGTCACCTTTGTTACATTGAAGATTATTATGAGCGTGGTATAATTTAACCATGGGTAGGCTTAAACCTGGTTACTGTCTGGTTGACAACCACTTAAACTCCGCAATCTGCGTAAGTTAATTACTTCACCATATTTTCCAGCTTATTAATAATGGTTAGTAAGAGCTACACCATAACCTTTCCTACCATATAGTTTTGGTATTCCAAAGATCAATAGTCCAGAGCAAAACTAACCTGTTAATAAGTTACCATTTTATTTTTATTTAAAGTTACGTTAGGCCTACATGATCTTACCAAGCAGGTCGTTTTGCGGCAGCCATTTGACAACCTTGGTGTTGTTACCGAGAGCCTTTGGTAGTTTACCGCCGTAACTCCAAGCCACCTTCTGAGAGAGTAGAGCCAGACTGGAGGCGATGTTCTCAGCTTGTTGCTCCGTCAGTTCATCGTTGATGAGAGTTCCCAGTGCTAGAATGACTATGCCGTGGTCGCCCGAGCTATCAACAAACGACTGCCACTCCTTCCACGAAAGTAATACAATAAAATATTGATACAACTATGCATAAATTATACAACTAGCCTCAAATATAAAGCAAAGGGCAATTAGGCCTAGTTCGGATTAATTAGGAGACATATCATCAGTACTTGGTATAGAAGTAAGACATGATTCGATTTAAAGACGTGAAAAGTCAAATGAGACTCCGTGGGTTCCCTATGGGCCCGAGTCCACTTTGAACGCTCCCGAAACTTGGACTCGCGCTCCTCCAATTTTCAGCGGAGGACGAGAGAAACTTCATGATCCGCATTTTCTCAGCTGATAGTTTAGCACTCGTTTTTGTTGCTGGCTAGCACTGCTGTGCAACCGGCCCTGCCCTAGCCAACGGCGCTGGACACCTCAATTTCTTTCTAAAATTTTATGAGGGAAATGCTGACGCTCAACGCATTATTTACCGCCTATCCCGATGACATACTGCTTGCTCTATTGCGCCGCGTCGCCATCTAACGATTACTTCCAGTCCTCTAAACGATACCTTGAATCGTGGCATATAATATTCAAGTCCAATACCTCATTCAGTGGTTTCGACGGACCCGTGAGGACACCCCCGACGAACTTGACATGAGGACTCAGAGGCCGGGGGAATTCAAACGCGAAATCCTCGTTGAAAATCCACATGGCGGCCTCCGAGAGAAGCTGCCCAAAGTTCGCATCTGGGCGGATGTTCCGCTTTTGGAGGACCTCGTCCATCGGCGTCAGCATGAACTTGTAGTAGAAGTAGCCGGTGATCCAGTACAGGAGTGTGTTTTTCCTGCGCTCTTGGAAAGTCATGGTATCGGTGAGAGAGCTGAGACGCTCGGGGACGTAAGCCGGGTGGATCGGATTAAAAGCAAATCGGTCGTGCTGCGATGGTACCATTGAAGTGAGCCCAAAATTAATGTACGGTACCTTAAGAACCTGACTAAGAAACACTTGATATAAAGTCACCACATCACCGATGATCATATCGAATCCTACTGTCTTTAGCTTCTCGATGAGTTGGGTGTTTCCCAGCATATCATCGTTGACGAAACTGGACGCCTTGAAGACGTCCACTTTCCGTCCAGCCACGCGTGCTTGTATCTCACGATCCTCGGCTTCGATGCGGTATTGCAGGGCCGTGTTGGCGCGCTCGTCTCGCAACTGTTTGGAGACGTACCGCCGGAGGAACGTGTCGCCATCTTTGTCGGTGAGAGAGGTCTTGAAGAGCGCGAAGTGTATCTGGTCCGGGATCTCCATGCGGCCCTGCACGTACAGGCGATGGGTCTCCTCATTCATGACGACCCATACCTTGTTCCCTCGCGAGGACAAAGTTTTGGCGATTTCGATGCCCGAAATCATGTGGCTGCACATTCCACTTGTAGCAGCCACCAAAATCTTGCATCCCAGAACCGGCTTGAGGTGCAGCAGCATTATCATGCTTAAAGCAAGGAAAACTGATACCCCAAAACATCCCATTTTAAGTTTATTCATCAGTTCAAATGAGGACCAGCAACTTGAATGTCTTGGATGCAGATATGCCCATCCTAACACAAAATTCTCTTAGCGATGGCTTTAGCTTTTGTAAATATTATATTTTATAGATTGTGTTTTTATGATCATATTTATTGCTGGTAGACCCTTAAAGGGAGTGTCAATAAATGTGTAAAATCATATCTCAGTTCATGATTATGCATGGATTAGTATCCGGTTCGTAATTGTGACGTCACTTTCGTTAGTAAACCACGTCCACTGCATTAGCATTGGAACCACTGGAATCGGAAGGATAGTGCAAAGTTGCGTGTTAGCCAATGGGCGCCAGTAATCAGTGGTGCGCGCGCGTGTATGACGCAGTCACTTTACGAACTGGATAGCCAATCAAATTAAAGGGGAGGCGCGACCCAGCCATGATACACAGCAACCAATAAGATAATAGAAGCACCAGGCCATTGCCCGTCTTCAAATACTCGTGTGCTACTGGTCAGGTCTTCAATTTCAATTCAATTCAGTTCAAACTCACATTTATTTCCGTACCCAATAAGAAATATATTAGCAGAGAATACATGAATAAGTAAACGAATAAGTAAAAGTAACAGTTCAAAAGGTGTACGAAGCGAAATTTTATACAGGTAGGTATGGAGGCATTCTCTAGAAGCCTAGGCTTGTGGCGAGATGCCTTGGATGGACTAACACAGAAAAGAAACACTTAGATCCAAGGGCGGATCCAGGGGGGGGGCGGCCAAAGGGGGCCATGCCCCCCCCCCCCCCCAAAAAAAAAACGAAACCAATTTTTTTTTTAATGTGACATCGCAATAAAGGCAGGCATTGAGTACACCACCATCTTTTCCTCAAAAAACATTGGTTAAAGTGGTCCGAAATTGCCTCAGATCGCACCACAGAGCATCTAGAATCCAAAAAATTTTCGGGGCCCTTAAGCGGGCCCCGAACCCCACGCCGTAATTTTTTTGGAACCACTTTTTGGGATACCAAATTTTTTTTGCCCCCCCCCCTGATTTTTTGTGTTCTGGATCTGCTCTGCTTAGATCAAGTATACACGAACAGTTGGACCAAGACAAAAGCTAAGCATGAAAACCTACGGATAAACCAGAACAGTACACGTATTGAAAGAGAAAAAATGCTGATAAACAAAACAAATGAGAAGCAAGCTTTGGCAGACTATATTTGGAGATTAGAGCTGTTTTACAGGCATGTTTGAATCGACTCTCAGTCTACCTGATCTCTAAATTCATAAGAGTGAAATTAGGGACCGGACGTTTTAGAGTGAAAATCACCCTCATTTTCGATTGAAATAGTCTGGAAAAAAGAACCACTTAATCAGTCAAAGCTCGAGTGAAAACTCGATCTTTACGATCGAAGAAATTTCACTCTAAAACGTCTGGTCCCTAGTTTCCGACTGTGGGAGTGAATCTTCAACTCGAAAGGAATGAATTTTCACTCTTCAGAATTTAGGGAGTGATGTTATGCTTCTCATAGAAGCTTGCCTATACAGGTTCATGTTTATTTGCTGGAGTAGGCTGCGATACGTAGTACAGAAAAGGATGAATTAAACGCCCTGTCTAGATTGAAGAGGACACGAGGGGATTTAGGGGATTAAGCTGACGGAAAGGGGGTTTCACAGGCCGATTTAAAAACTCTCATAATGCACCTTCGCGCTATCGCATATAAAAGACGAGCTCGCGCTCGAAGATTGATCCCAGGGGCATCCTACGACCGTGTTCACTAACGTATCTCAATTTTAATCAATCTGAAAATAGAAATTGGTAGAAAAAAAGTATATTTAGTGGACGAAGATATAAATTCTGCGCGACGGCTGTTTCATGTTTGCTTTTATATGATTTAACCCTTTGGCTCCCAGGGAAATAAATTACTGATGACTCTCCGGTACCAGGAGCATTTGGAGAAAAATTTTTAATTGTGTATAGCGCCCTCGTACATGCATGGAGGACAGAGCCCATTGCTTGCCCAGCAAATGTAAACAATATGTGAACTATTAAACCGCCTGCATGTTTATTACCCTTGATGTGTTTGCCATGATTATGTAAACGGACACGCGCTAATGCAATCTATTTAGGAACTACATGTAGTTCAAGCCCCCCCCCCCCCCAGTTCAATGTTGTTGGAAATCGGGCGTGCAGGCAAACTGGCCAATTCCCCTAGCAACATTGCAATGGGGGGGGGGGCGGGAGGAATAATGTTTATAATCACATAATTGAGTAGTCTGTTTGATATGCTTCAACCATGGAGTTAGATACACAACGCATAATAGGAGACATTTCGTCGAGAGGAGGCGCTATTTACATTGTCGCAAAATGCAGAGTGGCTTGGTGCCAAAAGGAAGAAGTGGCGTTCGACTTTTGGTGCCAAATGGCAAGGGCGGATCCAGGGCGGGGGGGCAAAGGGGGCCATGCCCCCCCCCCCCCCCAAAAAACGAAACCATTTTTTTTTTTTATGTGACATCGCAATAAAGGCAGGCAATGAGTACACCACCATCTTTTCCTCAAAAAAACATTGGTTAAAGTGGTCAGAAATTGCCTCAGATCGCACCACAGAGCATCTAGAATCCAAAAATTTTCGGGGCCCTTAAGCGGGCCCTGAACCCCACGCCGTAATTTTTTTGACCCACTTTTTGGGGGGACGATTTTTTTTTGGCCCCCCCAAAAATTGTGTTCTGGATCCGCCCTTGCCAAATGGAGCCCATGGAAGTGAATGGGTTAATGACACAGCAGTCATGGTTGAGAGCCCTATATTTGGAATGGTATCTATGCTATGAGTTTTATCTTGAACATGTTTCATTAATTTTTGTCGGTTCCATCATTTATATCACCAGGCACACTGGTGAATTCACCAAAAAGATGTAAAGTGTCAAATAATTATGTGATCTAAAACACTTCGGAATGATGGGCAAATATAATGCAATGTAGAAAAAAATCCTTATAAAGGGATATTGTCCCAAGTCTGTTGGCAGCCGCGGTACTCCGCCCTTTTGCGTCAAGTACGTGCTTAGTCTCAAATTAGTCGCATGCGTTCATAATTATGCAAAATCTGTTTCCTGTCCTGCTGAACATTCACGAGGCTACCTGTAAAAGTGCAGGTACCATAGGCTTTCAAACAAATCACAACACTATACTTGCAAGAACAGCTACACTGAAACGCAATGTAGCATCAAATGAGAAAACCAAGATTTTGATTTTTTTTGCTGGTAAATCAACGTGATGGTAATCGCACAAACTACAAGGCGAATATTTCGATTACTTAAGTACAAATCAGTGAACACTAAATTTCATCATCAGATCTTAGAAAAAAAAATTTTGAGGGGGGTTGTTTTCGCAACTTGCCGCCTTACCCCCTCCCCGTACAAATACAAACAATCTTACCACGCATAATGAGCTAAGCTATCACCGACACCATGAAGTACTACACTCCACGTGTTAAACCACATTTTTTTCCCGGTTTTCATTCATCAAGGCCTGCCATTGCACGAAATTTTAAAGCTTCAAGAGCTTTACTTTAATAATTACGCTTATTATCCATGGCAACTTTTGCGCGAAAGTGACAATTTTCGTTTTCACCATTGTAATGCATGGCGCGCACTCTGCTCAAATGCTAGTCTTGGTTCCAAGACCTTCGTTGAATACTTTTTCTCCCGGCGTGCGAAAATTATATTGCACTAGTACAGGCGCAGCCCGCGATGAAAAACTGTTATCGATTCTGCAATGTACTCGATACTTATTCACTGTGTTTATTCAACGAGTATCGATTCTAGCGCAAACGATTCTGTACTTCTGTAATGTACCGCGTCAACCTCGTCCCCAGGGTGTCGAGCAGTACGCGCCCACCACTACCTGCTCTCTCACCCTGGTATTGGATCATTTGCATTTGCAAGATTTTTGAACATGTATGCAAATGAGGAACAGTCTGGTGCCTGGATATGCGTTACACATTAGCGTTTGTTTTTGTATGCGGTGTCTGGGGTAAAAACAGAGTCAATTCGTAGCAGCGCGAGCACGGCGTGAGTTACGAAAACACGATTTTTGAAATCAAACTGTAACGATCTTATCGAGACAACATGCAGTATCATATTTCATATAAATATGAGCAAATTGGAAAGGAAATTAGTATTTTCGAGAAGGCGTGGACGAATGATCGCAAAAACACGTACTGCACGTTGTGAATAATAGCACCAAGTACACGGTAAAAATCCATTACTAGCCAATTGCAGTATCCAATCAGGATACAGGAAGAACGTTTACTATCCAGGGTTTACTACTGGAAACGCGGTTGGAAATAAAGCACTGGGGACGAGGTTGGTACCGCGTATAATATATCGTCCGTATATGCGCGTTGTGGTCCTGTGAAGTGCGCCCTCTGTTGAGTGAAAACAATTGTTTTACAAAAGTATTCATTGGTATGATTACACACGTACACAAACAACGCAGATAGTAACGTCTTGGAACCAAGACTACTCAAATGCGAGCAAAAGCGTTTTCACGAAGAAACACTCATCTTGTTCAGCGCGCGCGCGCTGACCTCCGTTTCCACGAAGTAACACTCTCCTAGTGTTGTAATACATTGAAGCGTGCTACTTCGTGAAAACGAAACAATTTCGCAGCTTTTTTTGGTGTTACGAACTAGCACTAATTTTTTTCTATTATTCCTTTTTGTTTTAATATACAAACGGGTCAAAAACAGCAAATTTAATAACATAAATACATCAAGTGTCCACAACGAGAAACCCAACTGAAAATACTCAACTTTAGATGCCGTTTTCTCCGATTGCTAGTTTTTACTGGTATGTACATGAGTGTTACTTCGTGGTGTCAATGACGTTCAAACATTCTTTACCTAATTGTTAGGCACTGGGCAGCAAAATGACGAGGCTACCAGCAATAAAGGTGATTAACGACCACTTCTATGTTATATAAGTCAACACTTCGAGCATCTCATGATAAGATGTGCATATCTGGTGTCGAGACATCAATTGACGGACCTCACTCGCACTAATGGATAAACCTAAAATGGGATGTTTTGGGGCATCAGTTTTCCTTGCTTTAAGCATTATAATGATGCTGCACCTCAAGTCAGTTCTAGGAGGCAATATTTTGGTGGCTCCTACGACTGGGATGTGCAGCCATATGATTTCCAGCATCGAGATCGCCAAAACTTTGTCTTCGCGAGGGAA